ATAGGTACTTACAGTCGTAGAACGCGGTTCGATCAATACTGTTTCATCGGACTTCCGAAGCGCACGCACACCTTGCCCCCCCGCCGTATGCCTACCGCCACATGGAATGATTGACAGCATGTGTTCGGCTGGCTCGAAAGATGTGTGGGTTGAGAGGCTAGATCTGCGATGGCATGACTACTGGGTGGTGCCGTAGGATGTGAAACGGTATCGTCGTCGTCGTTGTTGTCGCGTTGGAGGGGAAAGTCCGATGGCGATGGCTGTTGGTTGCGGCTACATGTGCCTCTATGTGTGTTATAATGAACTGATGTATTGAACGGATAGCGTAGAACGAAATAGAGCAGAGCATGTTTCGCAACGATTGTACGTATGGACATATGCGATGTATCAACGAATGTGGTAGGTCGAGTCAATTAACCAATCAGCAAATTACACCAAGGGACATTTAATGTTTTCTAAGTTCCCGCCCTCAGCACGGTGATGGAAATAGCCTCAATCCGTCATTATTGTTACTTTCAGGTTTTCCTTTCTTAAGTATGTAAATCTTGTAGTCTTCTTAACAAAGAGGAAGTAAAGAACAGGAAACCGGTAGTCGTCTACGTACATACACCTCTGTAGTAACAGACGCACGCCGTATTAAACCCACATCCCATTCACATACCTTCACCGTCCATCAACCCATCTACCCATTTCCCCCGGGCCGAGCACGCTCAAAGTCTAGGCAGAATCCATCCTACGCAGCACGCCTTAACTTCCACAGAGAACGATAGACACTGCGGCCTGTATGTACAGTACCTTGTAGGACAAGCGCGTCACGCGACCCCGGGAAGCACGGTTCGAACGGCTCGTCTATCATGTCGCTATCTCTTGTCCACTTTCGAGTTTTTCTTGAGAGGATTGCTGGGCTTGATGGCGAGATAGCGTGATAGCGAGGTATCTGTATGTCTGGAGATGTGTCTATTCATGTCTACCGACGGATATACTGGTTGATTATCCGTACTATAGGTACGCTTGATAGATATGTTTCTGGCTACGCGGACGACTTCATGGACTTGGCAACGTACTGCACTGTACAGCACGACATCGAGATAATAATTCCATAGTTATCTATCTGGTATCTGTAAATTACAATTTTTCTGCCTTCTACTCCGTCCGCTTGTATTAAAATCTTCCCCTCTATATACTATGTAATCTTTCTTCATACCCAACCTGCGAGGTATCTCCCAACCTATCCCAAAAACCAAGAAAGGTTGATATCTCCCCCGGTCACCACCACCCCTCCTGTTCGGCACCGCGGTTCCGAGCCTCGACCATGAACCACGGAAAACAAGATATAACATCTTCACCCGCCGGGGTGTCTTTGAACCGAACCGAGTGATACCTTGGTATCTGTATTATATCTACATAGGTCGTAGGTTCACGACCATGCCAGCATCCCACGGCTGGGTTTTTTTTATATAACCCTGGTGTAAGTATAGCAAGGGTGTTTGTGGTAGGGTTGGACGGATGGGTACTGTGGGGTGTTGTTCTTGGCCTACGTAGCACCGTTCGTCGAGTCTTTTCTGGTGTTTCGTTTCGGTCGTGAGGATTTGGATATGGTGGTGTTGTTTGGGTACCAATTCCATGGATGAGTTGTGGCTGGTGACTCGTCGTAGGCATTGCGCGATGCAATGCCACTGTACAACATCGATCAGAACGCTGCTACGTCCTCGTCCGGCATGTCTGAATCGTATCGCATCCAATCCACCCCGGTCCAACGTAGACTTTTGGTTGCTGTGCTTGATATGTGACAATATGCCAAGCATCGTGACATCCATCACCACCGCCCTTCACACATCGAACCCCGACAACGACGCCGGAGCATCGCCCCCAAAACTCTGGCTCGTCCACGTAGTCCACGGCGGCGAGTCACCCATCGGAACGCAGTGACCCTGCCCCATCGTCGCCATAACACCCCTCATCCCTCTCTCCTGCCCTGCCGTTCCCTTCGCTGCTGCTGCCGCCGCCGTCCCCGCAGGCTGATCCCTCATCTTCAACCCGCACTTCCTGAGCTCCCAGTCCAGTTCCTGGGGAATCCCCACCGCCGCCTCCATCCAATTGACCAGCTCGCTCCTAACCGGCGGGGCCCGCGGTCCGCCCTGCGGAATCAATTCCAGCGCGGTGCCGAAGGGGTACTGGATAAGACGAAGCAGGTCGCGGGCTGCTTTGTGCAGCCTTGTGTCGCCGTCCGGGATCGAGAAGAGGTAGTCGACGACCTCGTCCTCGTTGTTGTTTTCCCCCGGGTCGGCGTTCAACTGTCCGGCATTCACGGCCGCGGTGATGACCTCCATGTACCTCTTCACGATGTCGCGCATGCGCGCCGCCACGCTGTCGACTTCCGCGCAGAATGCGAGGACGTTGACGCAGATGTTGGCGAGGGTGAGGTCGGCGATCCAGGTCGACGAGTGGTAGCCGGTTAGGATCTTCTGGACGGCTGCGTGCAGGATGATGATGCCGGACGTGTAGGACGAGTAGATGCACATCCAGCAGAACTGGCCGATGTAGGTTTCCTGCGCCATGAGGGCCAGCATGCGGGCGGCCATTTTGGCCGCCATGAGGCCTTCGCGGACGCCGGTGCGCGTGCTGTGGCGCGCGGGGGAGGAGCAGGAGGTTGGGTTCGCCATGGAGCGGCGGTGGAGGAGCTGCATGGCGGAGAGGAAGAAGAGGTGAAAGTAGAAGGTGCCTTTTCGGACGGGGGTTGAGTCTTGTTTGGAGATGAGGCGCTTCATGGTCATCCATTCCGGGAGGCGTTCGTTGAGGTCGTGGAGTTCGAGGCGGTAGCTGTCGATTACGCTGTCGTCGACGATGCCGTCGTCGGGGATGGCGCGGATGATGCGCGCTTTGATGATGGTAACTTTGGCGAGTTCTTGTTGGATTATGTCTTCTTCTGTGGCGTCTTGCTCCATCATCATGAGAAGTGTGCTCGGGCTTAGTTGGCCGGATGTATATCCAAGAGATGCTGCGAGCCAACTGCACACATGTCAGTGTCTAGAATCATCTCGACCGTCGGCCTACTTACCCGTTGAACGTGAGCAGTGTCCTCCACGTCCTCCTGTAGTCCAAAAGTTCATCAGCACCCATGGTTTCATGGTTCTTGTCGTTGAGCCCGTGAAGCTGTGCCAAACCCAGTCCAAGTTCTATCTCAAGTCAGCAATCGTGAAAGATCCCAATAAGAGAATGAGTGTCTTACCAACATACGCCATCGCAACCCTCGCCTTGACGTAGATATTATACAACGTCAACAATGCGCAGACCTTCATGGCCCGCAGCGGATTCGCCTCGACGGCACTATCTAGCATCTGCTTCGCAATGGAGTAGAAGTAGTGTGCCATCTTCTCCGGCGGCGCATGTTCCTCGTCCGCTATCCGCAGATACAGCAGACCGATAGCTGCCATCCCGCTGATCTCCGCGAGCCGCGCTTTAGCTTCCAGCCCGGTGCTATTCCGCAGCAAATCCACAAAGGGCGAGTCCAGAGGCATAGGCCCGTCGTCTCGACTCAACGCAGACCGGAAGAGCGACTCCTGCTGGTCCTTAGGCACGATGTAGAAGAGCAGCCCGGTGGACGAGAAAAACATGTCCACCGCACGCCTGATAGTCGTGACGGTCACATTGCGGCTCATGAACTGTGCGTCTGCGAGCTCGACGTCTGGGGTTTCTGTTTGGGAATTGCTCAACTCGTCTGCTTCCTTTCCGTATCCACTGACACGATCACGGGGGCTCGAGGACGTACTGAGGAGGGTCGAATACGGGGAATCGATTCGCTGTTGCTTTTGCTGGTTTCCGAGCCAGGTTTCCACCGATGATGAGTCGAGGACGTCGCAGGTCTTGACGTACTTCAAGAAGTCCTGCGCCTGCTCGCTCCCCGAGTCTCGCTGGAGACACCAGAATGTTTCTAGGAGAGACGCGTTGTCGAGTTGCGGCTTGAAGACTTGCTGTGCTGGGTGAGTGGAATCGAAGGGTACCGCTGTTTGCGGTTGTATCTCTTCGCTCGATATCTGCTGTAATTGATCTTGCGGCGGTCGACTTTGCAGACACTGAAGATTCGACAATTTACCCGCGAACTCTACCGCACTTGGAGCGTCCGAGCTATTCGGACTCGTCACACTCGCATCACCACTGGCGTCGACGACCGTCACCGGGCTGCTGGCGATTTGCTGCGACGTCGATGTCTGATTGCTCTCCTTTTGCCGTTTCCTCGGGACCGCGCCAATCTGATAGGATGGTTAGCTACAATCCTCATGTTCTCGCCAACCAGACGCATACATACTCTCTCAAGCAGCTCCTCAATCTGCAATCGATCGTCCTCCGCCACCCGCCCTCTGAGATCCCGCATGAGTCTGAGCATATGTTCATTCTGATCCGCCACCCTAAAACACTCCAATTAGCTCAACCCAACAAAAATTCAACTTCTTCCCCCCCTTTCCCCTCCTCTCCTCTCCTCTCCCTTCTTTTTTCTCAAGGATAATCGAGGACAAAATAAATAATAAAGAAAAAGGGGTCGGGTCCAAGAACTAACGATCTAATCCTCTCCTTCCGCGCCTGCGGATACACACACGGCTTCCCGCCCGCCGCGCACCGCTGACACCTGACTTCCCCCGAGCACTTCATCTTCAGCTGCCTGCAGCCCAGACACGCGCGCGCGGCCCGGGGTTTCTCGACGGCCGCTGCTGCATTGTTGTCGCTGGGTCGTCTTCGGTTGTTGAGTCGGGGGATCGGGACTTTGCACTGTGCAGTAGCTGTAGTGGTGGTAGCATCACGCGGTTGTTGCGAGGACGGCGATGCCATTGCAAGGGGATCGAGATACAGAGCAGCAGACGCTGTGGGATATACGACACTGTATCTGCTGCTGCTCCTGCCCGCGAGTAGTACTACTACAGGCCATTATTGTTTTCGGGGTTGTGGAGATGGGGAGGGAGTTGTGGAGTTGTGAGGTGGGCTAGGCGCTAACGTCATTTTTGGCTTTCATACGCAATCCGCACTTTCTTGCGAATTTCGATACCGACTGAGCGGTGAATACGTGAGAAAATGGGCGGCCTTGTTTGAGTTTAGTAGTTATCTATTATGTGCGTGATTAGTTTTGGAGGGGGTGCATGGGGGAAATATGGAGGATTACGTGGAAATGTTTCTGGTATGGTGTTTTGAGGGTGTGGGTGTACTGGAGGTTTTTGGATACAATACGTGAGGGTCCACTGGAGGGTCCCCACAGTGGTAGAGTCGTTGCGTGACGAACGGATGCGAGTGTATGGGCGGATGGCGACTTCCATTGGCTCCAGGGGTATGAGGACTTCCTATATACAGACATGCCGACCAGGAATTGGTTGTGGAAATACCACTAGGTTCGCTTTTCTTATTTTATAGGCATGAGCCAACCTAAGAACAGAAATATGTTTACACTTCAGAATCTGGGGCTTTCTCACTCGCACATCAAGGACATCAGTCAATTGGAAATTCTCAGAAAGAGGAAAGGATGAATTTCTAGATTCATTCACATCAAAACAGAAGATCAGAAGATCCAAAGACACCAACGCCATGCCAAATCCAGGCGCAGGCCCAAGCGCTTTGGTGCCTGCCATGTTGGCTATGCAAAGTATGCCATGCTCGTATGCTATGCAGTATGCAATCGGGGATTCAAAACGGAAGAAAACAGAAAGTACGCCAATAGTAATGCAATCAATGGGTATCATGACGACCGTCTCATGTCTTGAGGCAACGAAGCTTGAGGACCAGCTTGGGCCTCGGGACGGGATCGAGTGCGGGCTCGGGTTCAGGTGTTCCAAGCTCGTCGGTGTTGCTTTGTGAGAGTTGCGGGCCGTTGGATTCGTCGGATGAGCTCTCGCTGCACGTCGGTGTCGAATCGGAATCGAAGAGAGGATGAGGGGAGCGTCGCTTGGAAGCTCGCATGATCGAACTGTCGACATCGTCACGCTCGACGCTGGAGCGTTTCCTCGAGGGCGAGGGTAGTATGTTTGTGGAAACGAGGGGGAGGCCGGTGTGGGGGCCGGTGATGTTGCGGACGGAGGAGTAGTGTTCCCATTTCTGTCGATCGTTAGCCGAGGACACATTGGACCAAAGGATGGGGGTTAGTGTTAGGGAGATGATTAGGAAGAAGACAGCAAGGTCGTGTCATCTGGAATACTTACGTGGTAGGCAATGTTGAGTATGGGCCGGTCATCGACGGCGCCGCTGGCTCCGTCGAGGACGTAGTAGATGCGTGGTGAGAAGGTGTAGTGGAAGTCGGCTTGCCAGAGGCGGACGTGCACGTTCAAGGCAGATGCAAAAGCCGAAACCTCCATGTTATCCGCCCACTCGCCGGGCTGGCCCATTTTATCAAGATGTATGTCGAATTGCTTCTGGAGTTCCTCCTCTGTGTGGTGGCTGAGGTCCATGAGGGGTGCCGGTGCAACGGTGGTTTTGCGTTTAGGATTCCGACGAACGGGCTGCACGATCATGTATTGGCGATAAAAGTCGGACTCGAGACGCATATGAGCAATGGTCGCGTCCCGGAGCGTTTTGTGTTCTTCCTGATGACCATAGAGTTGGTCTGACAGGGCGTTGAAGAGGCAGTTGCCTGGCACGGGTCAACATGAGAAAGAGGAACACGGACGGGGACGTGGACGGGGACAGGAACAATGGGATCAGACAATGAATGAGTGGTAAATTAGGAAAATCACGTACCATCACCTCGAATCTGGCCGGCATATAAACCATTGGCGTCGAGGATTGGGAATTCAGCAACGTTGGTGGGTTGCTTGCGTGGGGCCATTTGGACAGTTGTTGCAAGCAAGGTCGCGAGAGGACGGGAGAGATCGGTGTGTATAGCGAGAGAGGAAAAGGGTAATGAAGGGTGTCGGGGTCATGGAGGTCAGAGAATGGACGGGGGCTGGTTTATTTTTTAATCGAGGAGGTGAAGTAAGAGGGGCAGTGGCCGGCGAGGACACTGTTATTGTAGAATAAGAAGTAGAAAAGGGTTTATTGTAGTATTGTTGTTGTTGTTGTTGTTGTTGTTGTTGTGTTTCTTTGGTGGTGAAGGTGAATGTTGATGATGATGGTGAATGTGAGAGTGAATGGATGGGAATAGTAATAATCAAGCCTCGCGTCAGAGGGAGACAGATTCACAGCCCTCTGAAAGGAGGCTAGCGCGCCAAGTCTCCGAACGAGCCAATCGTGCCCCTGAGAATGGTCTCCCTGAGGAAAACGAATTGGTGGTAGAAATGGTCGTTGAACAAACACGCAGCCCCTCGATACTCGTCGATATTGCGGAGACAAAGGGACGCGTTTGTAAAACGAAGCTGGAACGTGGAGAAGGAGAAGAGGCGTCTGGTGGCAGCTAACACTTGATAAATGATTATTTAGCTCCGATAAAAGGGTGGTTAGTGGAGTAAAGCTCTGGCAAGCTCAGAAAATTTCGACGACTGGCACCACCGCAGAAGCACCCGCACTGCACGGGAATCCGCACCTCGGCCACACAGAGAACAGGCGATGATGTCAACCACGGACCAGCTCCGTAGACCGCCGAACCGCGCCCAGGCGAGTCCGTCTTTTTTCTTTTACCCTTCGTTCGCTTTCCTTTCGGTAGTCTACACCAAAGAAACAATTGCGGGGAGCTTCAAAACGAGGACAGGCTGTCGTCTTTGCGGTTGCCTAGGAGGAGGTACGGCTGCTTGCGTGAGTGCCTCTCTGTGGGAGGTTATTCAGGTGGAAGCCTGGAGTGAGAGTAAGAGTAAGAGTAATATAAGCAAGTAAGAGAGGAAGTAAAGTGGGTGAGTAAGTGCAGCACGGGATGGGATAGCTACCTAAGTTAGTGGGACGAGGATGGATGCAGTAGATATCATGTTTATTGCTTGCTTGCTTGCTTGCTTGCTTGCTTGCTTGCTTGCTTGCTATGTATGGAGGGGTAGCATGTGAGCTGGTCAGGCTGTACTCTCTCTTTCACCTGCTTGATGATGATGGGATGAATGGTGATGGATGTAAACACGCACCCAACACGCCCAACACACACATACACACCGCATACCACATAATGCATACCGCCTGCTGCACACCGCAACCCCGCACAGCTTGGTCTAAATCCGCTACTCATACCTAACGATAATGAACAAAGGTAAAGTCCTGTTTAATGCATGCAATTAGGACGAGCAGAGTAAAGCAGGTAACTATTCCTCGGTTTCTGTGTAGTCGCGCGCAGTCTCGTGCCAGTCTACCCGACATGGGAAAGATGATCGAGGTGTCAAAGGATGGTCGACTTTCGCAGAGGCCAATCAGCTTCATCCGGTCCATCACCGCCTGACACCACCCGGCACATTACATTTACTGTGTACATTCACACAATATACTGATGTTTGTATGGAGTACATAGACACACAGCTACATAATGTAAGAACAACCTGTGTTTACAAGTAACTACAGACTTGACCATTGTATTCCTGTCGGCTATCTTTCCCACTAATCATACCACTTGCTATTCCATCACCACCACCACCATCGTCATCACCATATCGATTCACCATTCACTGACTTCGACTACCAGCCGATCCATCGGACTCTGTCAATTTCATAATATAAACAACAAAGGCATAAAAAAGCCATCAAATAGCTCCAAACTCACTAACAAGCGATACTCTCTTCCATTCCCGTGCCTGCATGCTCTTCGGGGCTTTTTCAACATGTTGGTGGTGGCACCCCCACACCTCCCTCTCCCCCCCCCCCGGTAGAATCAACCCCACCAAACCACCAACGACGTAACTACCTCCCTCGTATGTAGGGAACCAACCTCATACACATCCACCTACCATACCTACCTAGGTACACACAAGCACTCAACCACATACTCGAGCTACCAACCTGAGTATCCACACGTCAACTCATCAATTGCACTCGTATTGACAGCCCAGTCATGGCGGTCACCAACGTAACAATCGTAGGGTAAGCGTTCATCTAATTCCATCATCACCCATCTACTGCGCCCCAAACATAACATATCCCCCCCGGCAAGGCTATATCAACCATTGTTCCCATGCCTGTTTATTTTGGGATCTCACCCGCAGAGCCTCGTCTATCTTGGGGCGGAATTTCGTTTTCGTCTGGTTGGTGATACGATGTGAGATTGACTGAGTAGGATGTATGGGGTGATGAATTGAATGTAGAGACTGAGGAGAGGTGAGGGAGAGTCATGTGAATTGACTTATATGCTATTTCATTACTCGAGCGTATATTTCCCCATACTTTGTATCCATTGCTGTCTCACATGATTCTGATCCTTCCATCAAGCCCTCAAAAATGAAAAGAAGAGAAGAGGAAAGATATGATGGCAACTCAATTTCCAATTCCCCTACCCCATAACAAACATATCTCCCAAACACCCCATACCACCACCACCCATCTAACCAACCCCCTAGAGCCGGCGTCGTAGGCCTCACCACCGCCTTCATCCTCTCCCACCGCCGGGACCTCTCCATAACCCTCATCGCCAAACACATGCCAGGCGACTACGACATCGAGTACGCCTCTCCCTGGGCCGGCGCCAACTACTGGCCCGTCGGCGCCCCGGGGACGCTCCTCCAGCGTCTCGAGAAGGCGACCTGGGCCGACCTCGACAGGATATGCAGGGAGCATCCCGAGGCCGGGATACACTACCAGGACAGCCGGATCTACGGGCGGGAAAAGGACGCGGATTCCACGACGGGGAAGTGGATGGACGAGCTGGGGAGACGGGATCCGTGGTTTGCTGGTGTGCTTCCTAACGTGAGTCGTCGTTGTTCTCTTTCCCTTGCGTTCCTTCGTTCTCCTTCCTCTGTTGCAATCATTTCAAGAAATGCTAATATGTAATCAGTTCCGCGTCCTCGAGCCCAGCGAAGTCCCCAAAGGCTACGACTGGGGCACGACCTTCACCTCCGTGTGCATCAACACGCCCGTCTACCTCTCCTGGCTGCTCGGCCAAGCCGTGAAAAACGGCGTCGTCGTCAAGCGCGGCGTGCTCACCCACATCTCCGACGCCGCGCAGCTCCACCACTCAGGCGCTTCCGACATCACGATCAACTGCACGGGGCTCCTCGCCGCCAAACTCGGCGGCGTCATGGACGCGAACGTGTTCCCGGGGCGCGGGCAGGTCACACTGGTTCGCAACGAGCCAGACGCGATGGTGACGACGAGCGGGACGGACGACGGCGGCTCGGAGGCCGCGTACGTGATGCAGCGGGCTGTCGGCGGGGGTACCATCCTCGGCGGATGCATGCAGCACGGGGAGTGGGAGTCGCAGCCGGATCTCAACCTCGCGGCGCGCATCATGCAGCGCGCGGTGGATCTGGTGCCCTCGCTTGTGCCGAAGACGGGGAAGGTCACGGAGCTGTCGGTTATTAGGCATGGGGTGGGGTTGAGGCCGATGAGGAAGGGGGGCGTGAGGGTGGAGAGGGAGAGGATTGACGGGGGGTGGGTGCTGCATGCGTATGGGCATGCGGGTTATGGGTATCAGAGTTCGTTTGGGACGGCGAGGGAGGTGGAGAGGCTTCTGGAGGGGGTGCTGGGGGAGAAGGCGAGGTTGTAGGGGGTGATTTGTGGGATTGTGTATTATGTATATATGTACGTGTGTACGTGTGCATGTATCTATGGGTCTATGGGTGTCAGATGGATGTCTTTTGAAAGCATTCTATCCCGACTTTTGCACTCCCTCGGATTGGGAACCATTGGAAGTGACCTGTTTTTTGACACCTAACGACGCTTTTTTCTTCCCTTCTCTCTCCAAGACTCACTGAATCACAACTTCCCCTTAAGAAGCTGCGAAATCATCTCTCGACCCGTGATAACCGTCGTCCTCCACAACGTCGGGAAGTCGAAAGTACTCGAGAAAGCTATTTCCACATCAGCATTCAAACTCCAACACAAAACTCCTCGGGGGAAAACTCATTCTCTCTCTCTCCCGAAAGAGGAAATTGAAGGGTTACACTTACTATCAGCATACCCAAAGAACAGCATCGGCGGGATCCAGCCCCTCGCGTACTCGAGCGCAAAGCACGCGCTCTCCATCTTGTACTGCTTGACGTCGCCGCGGCGCAGGTGGTGCACGGAGCCCTGGGGGTACCTCTCCGGCTCGAATTGCCCCGGCACGAAGGCCAATTGCTCTCCCGAAAGGATGTGGAAGTAGTCGTCGGCGGTGTGGCGGCCGGAGTGGCCTTCTGTTCCTACTGCCGTTCCTGCATGTCGCATGTTAGAAAGGATTCCTGTAGACTGGGATGGGGTGGGGAGGGGAGGGAGAGGGATTACCGAAGATGATGAGATACTCGGTGATGGAGGCGTGGATGATGTACATAGCGCCCATTGCGCCGCCTGCGTTGTTGAACACCCATTCCTCGTCGAGATTCACATGGTGTGGAACTTTGGTGTTGAGCTCGTCGACGATGTAGCGTACGATTTGCGCGGTGTCGTTGCCGTGGGCGGCGATGGCGCGCTGGGACAAATCGTGCAGATGCGAGGGCTCGAAGACGTAGAATTTCTCGAGGTGTCCGTCGAGGATGTAGAAGAGGGAGGAGAGGAGTCCTAGGACGATGCCGAGGAAGGCGAGGACTTTCATGTTTGCGGCGATGGGGGAGGAAGAAGGGGGGGAGGAGGTGGGAGGGAGCGGAAGGGGATTGAAACGAATGGATTGAAAAGAGTGTCGATATTAGAAGGAAATATCAATTGGAAGTTGATGCGCGCAAAGTCGTTGTGGTGAATTGAGGGTGAAGGGTAGTTTATTATAATGAAAGTCGGAAGTGGTTAGGCTGCAACGATTGGTTGGTCGGAATGGAAGCATTCCGGTAGCCATAAAGTCGGATCATAAAAATGGTGATTGTCGTAGTCCGGACGGCCGACGCACTTTGGAAGTTCCGAATCTCCTGAAGGGAAATGTCCGAACCTCAATTTATTAAAATCAGATGGTCGTAATTGGTCGCTTAGTTCAATTGCAAGTAAATTGCGAAGTACATTTGAATTAGTGAACGTTGATTGGCCATCAATTGGTGAAATTCAACGCAGACTATGTTCATGCTTTTCGTTCATAATTCGTGAAGACCGTAATGATACATGCACACTACTCACTCATCTCATCTCCTTACTTTGCTCCCCTCATGTTAAGCAAATCCTCCTGGCCCATTTCCTCCTCGCCAGGAGCAGCCTCGACACCGTGCCCTTCATGAGCCATCTGATCGAACATGTTACGCTGCTTAGCATGTTTAACATATTGCGCATGTCCCTTGGCTCTAGGATCGTAATTGGCGTCATCTATTTCCTCCCAATTAGCTACATCCAACTCCCATAACATGAACATCACGACAATCTCGTACCGAGGTTCTTCTTCTCGATGCTGCTTGGCAATTGGTCTCCCATTGCGGTGGTAACCTCGCCAGTCATACCGCGGTCCGCAAGACCTCGTGGAATGTCAAAGGCATTGTCGGCCGCGTGTGCTGGGTTCGCGTGGGCGAAGGCATCGGACGGGTCTACCTGGTCCGGGCGCGGTTTGGATGGAATGAGACGTTGGACGCCTGCGTCGCCTGGAATTGAGGTTCCATCTTTGGCCATGTCTTCGAGACGGCCGCCGGTGTGAGGGTCGGTCGGTGCCATGGTGAAATAATTGATGGGTTAAATTGCGAGAAATATTGTAATTATGGCTGTGTTGAGACTTTCAAGATTTCGAGGATGTCAATTGAGTAACGAGATATGGAACATGAAAGAGCCCAGAAGCTTGCTGTTTTGTACACGGACTAGAGTTAGCCATGGCTTTTTGAATCACACTCTTGCGTCACAATGATATCTTTGTTGTTCGTCATCAAAATCATCAACATCATCATCATCATCATCGAATGTGAGTAATGCACCAGATAGTCAATGATGATATCGAGATCCACCAATTTAGACTACCAGTGCACGGTCCACTATCCTAAACAGGACTGGCAGGCCAAGTCAGGTGAATTGCGGGGCAACTTTTGACGCGCTTCTCCAGGCCAGGGTCTGGGGCAGGCAAGCAACAAGTACGAGGGTAAACACCATCGACATTCGTGAACAACAACAACCACGCAACAACAATTTCTACCTTCACACCTCATACAACTTACATACACACGCAACTATTATGGAGGCGCCGCAACCCACCCCACAAGACGTAAAGCGCAAAGCCGCCCGCGAAGTCATCGACATCCTCCACGAAATCGCGACGCTCCTGGTACGCAACCCGCCCCCAAGGCCAAAAAAATAAATCACACAGCGCCGCGACGCGCAAACTCCCGAGAAACAGCTGCTGACAAGCCGGATCACCGCACTGCAGAACACACACCTCGACCGTCAGCAATTGTCGTACTGCGTCTCGCTGATAGAGAACGGTGCCAATCCTGAAGCTCTCGCGGTATGATACTCCCTCCTCCTCCCCACCCCTTGTTCGCGCGCGCTTGGTGCTAGGGGAAGATCGGAACTGACTGTCGGCACTGTGTTGCCTGGGGATGCAGAAAGTGATACGGCAGCTCCGCGAGGAATACCCCGTCGAAGATAGCGAGTAGCGAGTGACATTGGAGAGAAGGGAACATGGGATGGATAACGACATGCAGCGCGCGTCGTTGCTCTTCCACCCCACCCCATCCGTTCCCAAAGCGGAAAAGGAAACTTATCGCATGGCCTGTTACTACAGCAGGCAGATGGAAGGAGAAATGGGCGAAGCAAGGCAACCGTGAATTCATTTCGTATTTGCCGGATTCACATGAAGTGCATGCAGGCGGCTGACACAGGCAGCGCGCCTGGTGTTACCCATCAAATCGTATCAGTAATTACGCATCTGGTACTCGCACAAGACTGTGGATGATTGCGGAGGATGTGGATGAGGTATGTGGATGAACGGCCTTGCTTGGCATGATATGTTATCGCGGGTGAATTGGAGGGTGGATGCGGGGTATTTTCTTTCGAGCTGGGATTCCCTAACTCGTAAGAGCCGCTCTCGGTCTCTCTCTATCGTCTATGGTTGGCCTTGTTCTTCCTACTCTTTGTGCACGCGGGCATGCCTGCATACACCACATGCACGGTTATCAGCTTGGTCGCCCATGACGCGATAAGGTGTGCTTCGAGACCTGGCACCTGGGGCGTCTTGGAGAGGATGAGATATGAGATATGAGATGTGGGAAGTGCGAAGAGGAGAATTCATGGATTGTTGGTGCACGACGAGCCCAGGTTGGCGGAATCGCAAATCCCCAGGAATAGCATCAGTAGATTAAACATTTCATCACAGATGAGCAAGAAACCAAAAAAGAGAGCGAATTTGAGAAAGAATTGATATTGTTCATTTCTTTTGTGTTTTCTGTCTTGAGGGTTGGAAACGTCATGCAACCAAAGGAATTCGGCCGTGTATCACACATTTCTAAACCTTCCCCCTCTAACCTCTCTAAGCATCTATCTGCTGCCCCAAGTAGGCGACGACCTGCGCTGTCTGAAGTTGCCCTTCTCATCCGCAACCTTCTCGAGAGCCTTGGAGGCCCTCTCGTCGCGTCGGTCCAAGAATCCGTTGTAGAAAGCAGGGAGAACGCGTTGAGCATCTGGACAGATTCCACGTTAGCACACGTCCATAGAAATCCAACGTTCCAAAGAAAACAACCACATCCCCTCCAATGCTTCCTCCAGCATCGTGACATCTCCCCCTCTCACAGAGAAAAAAAAAGAAGAAGAGAACAACTTACTAGCATGCCTCCTATCAAACACAATCCCATCCGCGCCCCTCTCGCCCGCAACCGCCACCGCCTCCTCCAACAACCCCTCGCCCACTCCCTTCCCCCTATACTTCAGCTTGACCGTCCACGCCCTCACGACCGCCTTGCCCCTCCTCCTGCGGCCCCCTCCCCTCTTCTTCCCCGCCTCATTGCTGTCCTCCCAGCCCAGCACCAACGCGCCGATAATCTCCCCTCCCCACTTCACCACCAACATGCGGTCCTCGCCCAGCCACTCCCAATTGACGTCCTCCGCGAGCGTGAGGTACCCGCCGACAGCCATGCGGACGGCCGCGAGACACGCCATGGTGAGGCCGCCGACGGTGGTGAGCAGGATGAGCGGGTCGGCGCCACGGGTCTTGAGGAAGTATTGGGTTAGGATTGCGAGGGTGAGGACGTAGGCGGCGAGGTTGAAGGGGTGGGCGAGGAGCATGCGGGACGCGAGTTGCCGCTGCTGGGCGACGGAGTCGGCGATCAGGCGGAGGCCGGAGATCTTCTCGTCGTCTGTGGTCGCGGTGTAGGTGGTGAGTTCGGGGAGGTCGTCGGACGGGGGTTTCGAGGTGGGTGGGGAGGTTGCGTCGTCGGTGAGGGACATGCTGGATGGTGGGAGGGTGGAGGACAGGGAGGATGAGGAGGATGCTGAGGCGGGTGGGGATGGGTACGGGTTTGAGGCTGCGATTGTCTCGTGGTGGTGAGGCTGGAAGGCGAGGGGTGAGGGTGGTGGCAGTGGGAGTTGGGTGTTTCCTGCGCCGGTGCGGAAGTTGTTGGGTGTGAGGAGTGGTGATGGGAGGTCTGGGTCTATTCGGAGGTTTGCGCTCAGCGATGTGAGGAAGGCTGGATGGAGGGTCAGTTATGATGCATGTAAATAGGAAATGAAAGTAGTTTTGTGGTTTGGAATTTCTTGTAAAAATTGGTTATGGTTGTGGTGGATGGTTTGCGGACTTTGAAATTCTAGATGCTCCAAATCCGCAACCAGCAACCCGCACATAACCATTATAGAAGAACATAAGGAAACATTTTCGAGTCTTGATCTTACCAGCACTTGTTCGAAAGCCGGGAATGGTCGGAATGAGTTTCTCGGTATTGTAGTGATTTATGACGACGTTCTCAGCGCCAGCCTGGGAGACCTGGAATCTAGGAGGGAGGGAGGGAGCACTCGGGACTCTAAGATGGGTGGGAGGAAGTTGGCGTGGCATCGTGAAGAGGAAAAACACACGGAACGCTAACACATATATACGGCGAGTAGTGGCAGTAGTGGTGGCAGTAGTCGTAGAATTCGGTAAGATTCAGAACACAGGAAATAAAAATAAAAACCGAGGCTTAAAAAAATCCAATAGTGTGTGCGGGTATAATAATTAGAGGTGGGAATGGGAGATGTAGTAGTGTGAAGAAAAAAAAGTGCCCATCAAGAGACATCAAAACGACAAGGTTGGCGACGAGGGAGGGCAAAACGTGCTCTAAGTAGTGGATAGCAGGCCAAGGAATCAGGATGATCAGGATCAGGATCAGATCTAGAAGTAGAAAGACAAGCAACGGGCGGGACATGCGGTGATCGTATTGGGTGAATGGCTCGACTGGCACTTATGGTGTTGGTGCTGGTGCTGGTGTAGATCCATCCATCCATCGACCCAAACAGAGACAAGTATACGGTAAAGACGAGAGAGAGAGGGAAAAAGCCACAACAATGGCCAGAACCCAGACCAGGCATTGAAATGTGAATGGGGCACTTGGGAAGCCTTAACGAGTAATAGTACAAGTCAGGTTAACTAGGTTAACAGTTTAACTAACGGTAGGGTCCAGGGTTCTGTAACTGTTTCCCCCCCAGAAACTGCTTGTCCATTCATCCATTGGACGGATCATTCACCTTTCTCGCTCTGGTACTGGCTGGTAGCTGGAGAGCATGCACATATCCATCATGTTCATCAGTATCATGATTAGTGCAGCAAAGATAAGCGTCACTCATGTTGCGAATGATTGATGGGTGACGGTCCAATCCAAGTCCAGGACGAAGAAATAAGCACTTCACCTGCTGCATTCCTCCCTCCACATATTCCCTTGGGGCGGTGGCATCATCGTATCTGGACTCGCCGACTTGCAAACTAGTCGTCACCACATGAGCAACGCCATGCCACATGCCATGCGGACAGGCAGACAGCTGAAAGATGCAGCAGAGGCATATACGGACAAGTGCAGACCTACGGCATTCGAACTCCTAGGAGCCAGAGATCCCTGCCTCCATCAAGTCAAAGAGGCTCCGAAGGATACAGAGAATACGACGACGATGAAGAGACAACTGAAAGGATCTACCCGCCTTCCTCTACGATGATTTTTCTCCGTCCGTTGGGTGAGCACTTCTACCGCGCCTCTTCCTCCACCATCGTCCACATCATCCTCACCCATCCTCCGTCGGCGTTTTCCCAAGAAAAGATCAAAATAGGAAAATACAGCGCTGCGATTCGCTGGGAATTTCGGGGATGCATTTTGTGTGCCAGGGAGGGTAACGCCAACCGAGGACACAGCTCAATCTCTGACAAGCTCCGCACATCTCTTGAAGTCTTGACTCTTTGGCCCCCCCGTCTCCGCAGATACATGAAACATCCCAACGGACCGGGGGCTGGTTTCCGTTGGACGGTTTGGACTTGCGCGTTGACTTGCGTTGACTTGCGTAACCCTACGTTAAACCAACGTAAACCTACGCAAATATGCTCTGCGCTTGTTCGTTGTTCGTTCGTTCCTCTCTCGAGTCTCGAGTCTCGAGTCTCTGCGCCGTCATTCGATCGAATGAGTAATGGCCACTAAAACACGGAGTTCCCAAGGGAAACACACATCCCATCACCATCCCGTCCCGTGTCCCTCCCTCGCTCTCTCCCGCTCTCCTCGCGGGCATCGAACCTCCTCCCGTCTCGACGTCTCACGAAGGGGTCGAGCCTGAGGCGAGGCGAAGCGCAACCGAACTTGAATCGAACTGTTTTGCAGTTTCAGAGTAGCCAACTAACCTCAGCATTTGTTAGCATGAGCCTTGTCCTTGTCACACGTTCGGTTCGCAACATCACATGCATTGCTCGCTCGCGTCGCCCCGAAACTTCTTCGTTCGAACACGGTATTCCTTTCGCATGGTCAGGGCATGGAGCATTGACAAAGCACGAACTTAACCGCAATGCCCACTCGTGAAATGTCTACCCTAGGTATTCATGCCTTTTTCGCCTTCAACGACTCAATGCTCAATGCCTTTAAAGCACTACATAGGTATCCTCATCTCTTCGAAACTCCCAAGACTCGATGACACTACCGTACATACATACACACAGCACCTGCACATCATCCCCAGACTCCCTTCCCCAATCCCCATCCCCAACCCTCATCATATGATCGATCAATCAATCAACCGAATCCCCCTTCAGTAAAACCCTCCGAAACATAGTGGGTACTCTCATAGTATGTCCGACGGTAGTTTCGGCGGCTCGATTTTTCCGTATGGTAGATCCCGGGTATTTACCTACAATGTGCATGTACTGTGTAGATGCTCCGCTCCGTACATCATCGCAATACATACATACTTTGACATCCCCGTTCTTATGTCAATCTAGTAGCGTTAGCGAACAATAAGAGATGTTCGTTTTAATCGGGCCTACGTGATATTGGGGTTGTAGCCGGGTGAAGTAGGGTATAGCAAGCATCACACATCCTCGGTTGATAAAACGAAAACGTGTCAACGAATGAATATAGAGCGAGGAGTATGATTGATGATAGAGCCTTGAGATGCTCTTCCCAGTAGGTCTTGAGGTTTCAGATGACGGAAGAAATCTGGTAAACGGAGGGTTGTAGATCACCAACTTGTCATGTGTCCTGATTGTAGGCTGTGATCAACGTCGTCTTTCCTTCTTCGATCATTGGAGCCATCTATTGATTCAGCCATCTTTTAACAAAGCGTAATTTGCTTTGTTGAAGAAAACACTTGATATGATATCGATACGCCATTGATTCACCATCCTCTTCGCTTATACTGGATTGCTCGAAGTATCAAATAGCGCAATCTTGACGCCCTCCTCCCTCTATCGCCGGATCCGGCGATTTGTGAGAATGAAAAAAAGGAAGAAAGGGGTATCTGGATTAGTTAGGTCTATACGATACTTTCCCCTTCCACCATCAAGTGTTCTAAAAAAAACGAAGAACAGATTTCTTTGTTCTCGTTCTGTACGAACGATATCAGGAAGAATTAGAGATTTTGATTTTAGAGGAAGTTCATAAGCCAAAGAAAAAGAACAGAACAGAATATACATTAATGCTACTCTGTCCAACTTGATTATGGTTTTATGCTTGTTCTTTCGTTTCTTGAAATTGAGTGTAGCCGTGTAATTGATATCGGTGTGGTGTATTGTAGTCGTTAACGTAAACCGAGTTATATTGCAAGCATCATGGTCAGCTAGTCCTAGGGAATAACGAAAGTCTCATAAGAGAGCACTGTCGCGTGATCACAGATCTAGATGATCAACTCCCATCGGTATTGCTTTTTGATTGATGATTTGGTAATTGATTGAATGATTTGGGAAAAGTCTTGCAATTGAATGCATGTCTATCATCTTGCTTTTTTGTTTGTTTGCTATGATTCCCGGTTCCAGTAGTCAGTCAGCCGCCGCAACAGAACTCTGTCACTCCCCATCTAATCCAAACGAGCTACCCAATATTAACCATCCCCAATGATACCCTATCCCAAATTCCGCGGGTCCACTTTCCCTCTTTATTCAAAAAGTTACCCCTCCCCTCTCAAACATAATGATATAGTATTATACAATGAACAAATGCCAGACACGGGCAACGTGTCTGACCGAATTCCAACAGAAGGTTAAGATCGATATGTGTGCATGTATATGAGAGCAAGCATTGCTCATTGCGTGAATATCCACCCCTGGTGCAGTTCCTGGGCGTGTTTTCTTTATTTTCTGTCCTGGACAAACGCAAACGGCGGAACAGAAAACGTAAGTCGAGATTGGAGTGGTGGAGACCGGAACGCCGATTTGCGCTCCTATGTACAGCCAAGATATTACTATTACCACCTTCGATGGCACGTGCTAGTGTCGTACAGTCTTATATGATCATCGGAACGTATGTAGATGCGGGCTAGTAGAGCTCTCACAACTTTTGAGAGATCTACTTCTTCGTAGCAGGAGCAGGCGCGGCTCCTGCGCCGGGCTCGAGCGTATGTTCGTGGTTTTCGGCCCTGTGGATCTTCCCACCCTCCTCTTGGGAGCAGATCTGGCTGCCGGTCACCCACTTGTCTTGCAAGATCTCCTCCAAAGTGGCACGCTTCTTGGGATCGAGTTCCAGCATTCTGCCAATGATGTGTCTGCTCTCCCTAGGCAATAGGCGTAGCAATCGCCACGGGCCCTTGATCACTTGAGGTTGCTGCTTCTCTGCAGTCGCCCCGGATCCACTCGTAGGGCGTTTGTCGGATCCAGCATCGGAACGGGCAGTCTCTTTGCGATTCTGATGATGGCTCGTGGCTGATTCGGATGGTAATCGAGATGCTGGTTCCGAGTGCACTTCCGGATGAACGCCCGTTATCGACTTCGGGCCATCGTTCGGAGGAGAGATGAAGAGCTTGTACGAGTTATCCGACACACGTGGTGCTTTCCAAGGAAACCTTCGTAATGTCATACAACAGAAGATAATTGCAAGCGACCACACATCCGTAGGCTGCGGGTCATATTTAGACAAGTCGTACACCTCTGGGGCTAGATATGGGTCTGAACCAACAATGCCTAGATCCTTGTTAGTAGTGAAGCCTTAGCTATGTGAAGGCGAGCTCTACTCACCACTTGCGAGAACAATCTCGTTCTCAAACGGATAACGGAACACCGTAGCACTACCGAAATCGATGATCTTCATGATTCCGTGCTCGTTCACCACCACGTTGTCGAGCTTTAGATCTCTGTGCGCCAAGCCCATGCTGTGAAGGTAATTCACACCACTGAGGATTTGAAGAGTACAACAACTGATCTCTTCTCGGCTCATTTTCCCTGTCATTACTATTGCAAACAGGTCGAATGGCGCGTACTCCATGACAACGTAGAAGTTGCCCTTCTCACTTACGAGATCCATTGTCTCAATGATGTTGCCATGATGAAGCGTACTGCCAATGCAGAATTCCGCTGTAACCTTCTTGTTGTAGTCACGTTCAGTCTCGTACGAATGACGAGCTCTGAATTGCTTCACAGCAAAGGTCACACCATCACTGCTCCGCTTCATAAGACGAACAGAACCACCTGCACCGGAACCCAGCACTTTTCCGAATTTGCCATACTTGTTTTCCAGACCGTGGTCGTCGGCAAATGGAACGCTCACAGACCCCTGCGTAAGCGGTGGAGTCATTGCGCCAGACTTCTTTGACTTGCCTCCCAAGATAGAAGGTGCAGGGGACGACGTCCTCTTCTCCTTGTGTTTGTGGCTATCTTTGTGTTTTCCGCCAATCTTGAAAAATCGCTTTAATTCCGACATGGATCCGTGATGATGCTGCTTTCCAATCCCGGTACGCACATCACTGTCATCCCCTGAACCACTTTGATTTTTACCCGCCGCAGCTAAAGCCGCCCTCTTCTCGTCTTTCATTGAAGATGTCTCTGAGCTGGTTCCCTTAGAGCGAGGAAGAGACATGTTCGACGAGTTTCCGAAATGTCGCCTATGATCACGACCACCGAAGATGAATCTGGCGTCTAGTGCATCGAGATTTTTAGGCTGGGGAGGCCGTTTAGATCGAGAATATGGGTCGTCTTTGTCACCGGATGGCGTGAATGGTCGGCTGTACGTTGGGGTCGTTGTTCCTGATGCATACTGTCCTGGCGTTCGCACTCCGGTCGATCCGGAAGGACTTACATCTCTGGATGGCGGTAGTGAGTCGCCTGCAGGTCCAACAGAAAACGATGGGGGATGCCTTGGATGTGCACCGATAACACCTTGCATATCCGACTCAGAGGTGTGCCGTGGTGAGGGTTGCGGAGATTCTTTGGGAGAACGGTCGACGACGACGGATTGAGGTCTGCTGCCACTGTGTACGGTATCCATGGAGGTCGGTGGGGGTTCATGAGGAGGTGAGATTTGTGGAGTCATCATGGCTGGGTCGGAACGTCCCCTCTTCTGATCTCCAGCAGAGCCGCCCTTTCCATCGTGTGAAGAGGTGCCTGCTGGGGTCAGCGGTGGTGAATGCATGGCGGAGGCTGGTGGTGATGGACGTGAACCGATTGAGCCTCGGAGAGCAGAATGCCCAGAGGGGGTGCGCGACGCTGGCGATGGAGAGGGTGCCTTTGGAAAGACGTTAGCTTATGTGTTGTCGGACGCAGGCTTATGGAAGCGTTGGTTGTTTGCTTACCCTTGAGGCTGGGAGTGAGACGGGCTCAAACGAGAAGTTCTCCATGCGCTTAGCTTGACATCGAGATGCCTGTATGGTGTGAGACAGATTGCGGAGCTCCTGTTCGGCCTCAGGACTCAGAGGTTGCTTGGTATCCTTTTCAGAGCTGCCCGTCAACGTGGAGACGTGCTGCAGGGCAGCTTCGGGTTCGATTTCCTGGTGGACATCGGCGAAGCGCACCCCCTGCGCAGGTTGGTCTTGGGGAGTAGGGGCCATGCTGGGCAATGTGGAGTTTTGAAGATAAGAAAGAAGAAAGGAAAATCTGGGGGATGGGGTAAGCTTCGAATGATTGATGACGAAATGTGAGGTTGCTATATTAGGTCGGAGACATACCAAGTGGATAGTGTCTAGGCCGCGCTCGGAGTGATGATGAGTGCTATTCCGATGAACGATGACTGCGTATGTACAGTATTCCAAAGCTTCGCGCAACGGCCTGGCGCCGGCAAATTAGGTTATAGTAGGCCAGTGAACGATTGAGGAAATAATAGATATCGTGACGGTCTGCGGGCACGCACGAGAGCGAGGGCAAAGGTAGCCTGGAGGAGTATGAATGACTACAGAGCGAGCGGCGTCATACGAAGGAGGTATGCCGAAAGACGAATGGTGCAGCTCCGATGGGTAGGTACAAGCACAAGCGATGCGGAACGCTCGGATACCACGCGCGTTGATGGTTCGAGGTTGGAAGAGGTGCTCAGAGCAGTGAGAGGTAAGGAAGAGGGATTTGAAAGCAGTTACGAGGAATGGTAGAGTTGGTGGAAGAGTGGATTGGTGAGTGGTTCCTTTAGGATGTGTGAGTAATAGTGGAATGGACGTGTAGGGGAAGAGGAGGGGCACGATAAGTCTTCGATACGGTTTTCGGATCATCTATCGTAATCCCTCCCTCAACAGAGTGGGGACCGTGCACTCCAATGCCTGCAAAAAAACTAGGTACTGGACAACAGAAAAAATTATATTTGCAGAAATGGGCTGAAATTCTGGACATTGCGGCGGCAATTAATGAAAAAGATTCTGTCTTGCCTTACCCTTCCTTGTTTTGCCTTGCCCTGCCTTGCCCTGTTTCGTATACTTCCGCCGTATCACGGCGTAGCAATTCCGCAAATCTTCAGGCGGGATCTTACTGTACGTACATTCATGGTTAGATCTACAATAATGGAGGGAGTACTTGTAGGATTTGGGGCCTCAACATGTTAATTGTTTCAACATCTCCGTCCTACTTGTATGAGGAGGGCTCCTATTCTTTTTCTTCTGCTATTTCTTCTTCGAAAAGGGATCCATCCTATCTCATGCTAGCTACCTCTCCCTCTTCCCCATTGAATTGAATTGACATCATTATCACTTTCTTTTATTTAGAGACTCAAAAGAACTACATAGATGAAAAATTGCAATAAAAAAAGACCCTGTGGTCCCACGTACCAGACTCTTGATATTGTATTTGGGCCCATAACCAAGGCTCAGGCAACCGGATATAGACACATGTTTTTTTGTCTTCTTTTCTCTTCGACTATTACCGAACCAGCCTCGTTCGAGATGATTGTTCAATACCCTCGGGAAGCTTGTGATCCTTGGGAATTGCCATGCGCCGCCTCCCTTCGCCCACTCAGCCAACTCCACTTGACTACGGCAAACTACGCAAGAGGATGCATCGACTTCTGGAAACCCTAAGCCTTATCCGTACCAACCAGGCCGTTTCTAGACTAGTCAATGTCCCAAAACGGCTTAACCTTGTTTTCTGAGAGTAATCCCAGAGACACCAGACTTGAAGCCATCGAGCGATCAACCCAACCCGACTCTTCCTACACTGTAACTACTCGTACCTCGTACAAGCCTCAAGGAATAACCACTCCACTCAATTACACGACAACCTCGACCACCTCCTTGTCGCCTTGCTGGTCGACTGGCTTGCCCTTGACACCGACACCCCTAACTAGTTACCTACCTCTGCTACCCGTTCCTGGTCTCTTGGCCCTTTTTCTCATTCTCGACATCCCATCATATCCTAAATTTTTGGCTACAATTTTACAGAAGTTTTTCTTGCCTCCCTTAACAATCTTCTTGTCTCTCTTGCTTACGCTGTTCCTACTCTCAAGTGCCGCATCCTTTTCGCAAACGCAAAATGTTCAACTGGGCCAAACAACAGTACGTACCCAGCCAGCTCCCTCTGCTCCACCCACCGCTCCTCCGACCATCCCGCACCCCCTCACAATGCATCTCTTTCCGAGGCAGGGCTTCGCATCTTCCTCTTCCTACTACTTCTACTCTGCATAGCTTCCTTAGCCTAGTCCGGCGCATCCGCCCGTACGTGCGTGTACTTACATCTATGTCAGACTGGCCAACGTCGCCGGCACCCAGGAACCCGAATACGGTCCGGAGGCATGCCAACCCGTCGGCAAACAACAAGGTGATCCGAGCTATACCGAGTTGAACAGGGCCGACCTCAAGTGGAAGACTATCGACTGGACCAATGTCGAGACCCAGACCTTCTACTTCTATACTGAGGGTGGACATGTTGGCTTCTTGCAGGTCATATATAGTAATGTGGCGTACGGACCACCACCCCTCTCATACTCAGGAAACAGTGGCTAATCGCCTGCTCGCACAGAGGCCTAAGAGTTACTTGCCAGTTCAACTGCAAGATCTTCTTCCAGAATAACGAGAAGCCCGCCGTTTGGTCCTCGGACCCGCTCGAGAACTACGGATTCGATGAAGATCAATACTCATTCTATGCCGACGGTGTATCCCTTGAGCTCTCGGAGGATGGAAATTCCTACACTATCAAATCTGCTACGAACGACAACAGTTTGGTTAATGTGAAAGTCACAAAGGCAGCGCCAGGCTTTGTTGGTGGAAAGAATGGAACCACCACCTATGGCACGGATCCTAAGGCACCGTGGGGATCTATGTACCATGCTTTCTGGCCTCGATGCAATGTCGAGGGAGCTGTTATTACGAAAGAGGGAGAGATTGACCTCAAGGGTCGGGGAACTTTCATCCACGCCCTTCAGGGAATGAAGCCGCATCACGCTGGTTTGTGCCGTGTATTCATGCCATCCTGAATTATAACTAACCCCCAACCAGCCGCCCGCTGGAATTTCTCCAACTTCCATTCCGCCACGTATTCGGCCATCCTCATGGAATACACCACACCCGCATCGTACGGAAACACCCTTGTCCGTGTGGGAGGTATTGCGACCGATGGAAAGCTGCTGTTCGCCGGAACTGGCGCAGAGGCCAAACACACGGAGGCCAAGCAGGATTCTGATAACGACTGGCCCGAGCCCACTGCCATCACTTACAACTGGTCCGGAAAGAGCGAGGATGGGAAGGATGTTTCTGCAGAAATATCTGGCAACGTTAACCGATGGGATCGTGTTGACGTTATGGCGGAAGTCCCCGGATTCGTAAAGGCCATCGTTGCCACTGCTGCCGGAACCAAGCCGTATATCTACCAGCTCTCGTCCAAGCCTACGATTGAGGTCAAGGTTGGTGAAGAGACCAAGAAGGAGGAGGGGGTCATGTTTGCCGAAGCCACCTTCATCTCATGAGTATCAATTTGGTCTTGTTGCATAAGTCGATTGCTCTCCCCTAGCCTTAATTAGTAGACCTGGCAGGACTGGTGTCTGGATAACCTAATGATTGAAATGCGTTTATACCCACCTATTAATTATGATCCTGTCTCGTCCATGTTGGTGTCCGAATCAGAAGTAATATTACGCATGTGACAATTCTGAGCTGAACACATGGATTTCTCTACCTAGTAGCTTCATGGTGGGGGTTTGGAGAACCTAGAAATATATCAGCAGCTAAACTAAGCTAAGTGACAATTGTGTTATGATAATGCCTTTTCCTTGCATAAAGAGTAGTCATGCAAGTACTCTATAGTAATTCTCAGTCCACATCCAGGTGAAACAGAGTCACTTATGCACTAAATGCGCCGGTATTTACCAATAAGAGTCGCGCGTCGCGTCCACCTCACCTACCCACACGCCGTCGAACTTCCCCCACACTCTCCTCGGCACCCACTTACCGTCGAGCTAATCGAACCCTCGAACCGCATTCTATCGACCATCCCAACCCGACCCTCCACATATACCGACCACCACCGCCACCAAAAGCATAATTTACCTCCACCACCAGCAAGCTACAATGTCTAGGTTCAGTGGGGTCCAGCGATTCGATCCGTCGCCGCTGTCAGGTCCCTCGAGCCGAAGCGTCCCCAACAGCAGTGCACCTGTGGCATCCCGAGCCACTCACCTTGGCATCGGTCTAGGAGGCAAAGGACTCGGCAAGACGGGACTTCGTCGACACCAGTAAGATCACATTAATACCTACGCTGGATTTCTTCCAGGAAAGAATGCTAATGTCATGTGCAGAAAGATTCAGCGAGATACTATCCGCGGCGTCACGAATGGCGACATCCGGTAAGTCACGAGTCAATAACAACATCACACGTGAAACGAGAAAGATGCTAATTCAAATGTCTCGGTGTAGTCGACTTGCCCGTCGTGGTGGCGTCAAGCGTATCTCCAAGATCGTCTACGACGATATCCGTCACGAGTTGAAATCCTATCTGCAGCGTGTAAGTTCATGTCATGATTCGATCTTGTATTTCTATCTGAAACTAACCCGTCTGCAGCTCCTCAAAGATGTAGTCGCCATGGTTGGTAAGCAGAGATTGGTTCCTTTCCTTGGTATGCTCTTAGCTGACGAATTCAGAACATGGCGGCAGGAAGACTGTCTCGGTCCAGGATGTCGTCTTTTGTCTCAACCGGGTAAGTGCATAAATCCAGACAGATAGGGAGTATGTGTTTGCTAATTTGGTTGCTGCAGATTGGACGCACTATCTACCTTTGATATGGTGCACTTCAATAGTGAGTGGTGCTCATTAACAGTGAGTGTGCTTATCGACAGCGATTGGTGTTCATCGAGTGTGAGTGGTAATCATCTCGTGGCGTTTGGCGTACGTCCATTGCGTATACAGATATCATGACAGCGTACATATTGCGTTCGTTCACTAGTTTGTGCGACCCAGGTCATCGATTTTAGCGGGATATGGGGCAGTTCGGACTGGATGCATAATGACCCATGGTTGGATTTTGGTGACTATTGAGATACCCTTTGCGCAGAATTCGGTCCAACCGTATATAGGACACGTCCAGGAGTAGCGGCTAATAATAAATATCAGCTCAACTTCCAAGTCAATACCCACTACAATCGACTCACATTTTCAGCTCTGCAAAAACTTGCGTAAACTGCTAACCAAACCATCGAACTCTTCCTGTTGGCGAGACGGCCTATACACCGTGTTGAGGAACTTATGGTCCTCCACCAAATCGCTCAGCATCTCCAAGCCACCACTTTTCACCAAACCCCACTCCTTCTTATTCAACTTTGCTTCCCTCACACATTTACACATCAAACAACTCAACACATCCCTCAAAAAGTCGACCAGGTCCTCCTCCACGTCATAGACGCCGATCCTCCAATACCCAATCGTAAACGCATACGTCCACCTCGGCGTCACTCCCGCCTTCCTAGTCAAAAACCACTCCGCGAGCCCGCAAAACCAGACGAAATGCGCTTGATGTTTCTTACCCTGCCTATCATAAATGTTCCCGAACCTACGGCACTTCTTCCAAACCTGGACCCAGAGCTCGTCCTCCCCCGCCTCGGGGATCGGATCCTTTACCGGCAGCCTTATGTCGATCCTCAGGTGCCGATTCCGCGTCAGGTTTGCCTTGTGCAGCGCGAATAGGTCACTTTCAAACTCGTGTACCCCGCGGAAGGTCAGGCAGCTCACGTAGCCGGTGAAGTAGGTATCACCGTAGAAGAGGTAGGATACCTCGTGGCGGAGCATGCGGCAGATGTGCAAGAGTCGCGGGCAGAGGAGGCGGTTCCTGAGGGGCTTGCCGGAGGGGGGAAGGGAGATGTCCACGTGCACCTCTGGCATGAGGTACCGGAAGATTTCGAGGCGGAGCTCGGGTGGGAGGGTGGAGAGCAGACAGGGCTTTGATGGGTCAAGAGGTTGGAATGGGGAGTTGAAGTTGACGAGTGCGTAGTTTTCGGAGTTTGGTGAGGTGGCGGTGTCAAGGGAAGCTCTGGTCTTGCCTTTCTCTCTTGCAGCAGATGCTGCGGTTGGACGGGTATAGCATGGTGATGACATTTTTGAGGTTTAAGTTGGCGTTATGTTACTTTAGTCAGTGAAAATGGATGATTCGAGTCAAATTTATATACGAATAACTGAACTAAGCTCTTCCTCCGACCGCATAAAGCATTGTGTATCTTCGTTGGTGTAGAATGTCGTTGAGCTGAACATGCCCATTTACAATGAGACATCGCCAACTCAGGCCTAGTGCACACGTGCTAGCGCGTTGACGTTCCTTCCCAGTTGAGTCGCCTCCACATCGATCCCTCTCATCCATCATCTAGAATCGTAACCGTTTTCTTTAATAACACAATAACCCCGAAGGAGACCCTGACCTGATTTACCCAACGATGGCCGATGGCATGCAAATCGACCCAGAGTCTCCACGGGGCACAAAAAGAAAAGTCGACGATACGCTTCCGCTCCCTGCACCGCGTCGAATCAAAGCACTCGCAGAGGATGTCGTGAATAAAATCGCAGCCGGCGAGATTATTGTCGCTCCCGTACATGCACTCAAAGAGCTGATAGAAAACGCCGTTGATGCCGGGTCAACGGCATTGGAAGTACTCGTCAAAGACGGAGGATTGAAACTCCTTCAGATCACAGACAATGGTCACGGGATTGATGTGCGTAGTTGAACCTTTGTTCCTTTCTCTTTTTTTGAAATTCATAGACTGATGACTGTGCAGAAAGAAGATCTGCCGATTCTGTGCGAGCGATTCACAACATCTAAATTAAAGGCTTTCGAGGATTTGAGCTCCATAGGGACGTATGGCTTCCGTGGTGAAGCTTTGGCAAGTATCAGCCATATTGCTCATCTCAGCGTTACGACACGGACCAAGGAGTCGAGCTGCGCCTGGAGAGCCTATTATTCTGGTGGTAAGCTTGCCAGTCCGAAGCCGGGTCAAAGTGCGGAACCAAAGCCTATCGCTGGTCGACCTGGTACCCAGATAACCGTATGCATCTTTTGATACTTTCCCTATCACGATTTTAGCTGATTGTTATAGGTCGAAGATCTGTTTTACAATGTCCCTTCGCGACGGCGTGCCTTCCGTTCTGCAAGCGAGGAGTACGCTAAGATCCTCGAGTTGGTCGGAAAATACGCTGTGCACTGCACTGGCGTGTCGTTCTCCTGCAAGAAACACGGCGACTCTTCGGCCTCAATTTCTGTCCCAGCCAATGCATCGATTTCGGATCGCATACGACAGATACATAACAGCGCTGTTGCGAGCGAATTGGTAACGTTCAAGGCAGAGAACGATCGCTGGGGCTTCAAATGCGAAGCGTGGATCAGCAATGCCAACTACAGCGCTAAGCGTACGACGATGATGTTGTTCATCAACCACCGATCCGTTGAATCACAAGTCATCAAAAAGAGCATTGAGCAAACATACGCTACCTTTCTTCCGAAAGGAGGCCATCCCTTTGTCTATCTCAGTCTCGACATCGACCCTCAAAGGGTAGACGTAAATGTCCATCCCACAAAGCGCGAAGTCCATTTCCTCAATGAAGATGAGATCATCGACATCGTGTGTGATGAGATCCGTACCAGCTTAAGCAAGGTTGATACAAGTCGATCGTTCATGACGCAGTCTCTTCTGTCGAACCCGAAAGTACCCTTTGCTACACCAATGAAGCAAACTGCGCCTGCTACTCCAGCCCAGAGCGGAACGGTTGACGGGAGCACTGTTCGACCGACGCCCAAAACAGCCACAAAGAAACCTTACGAGAACAATCTCGTGCGTACTGATGCGTCCGCCCGCAAGATCACCTCCATGCTCGTGCCACGCGAGTCAACACAAGGCGGCGAGGACGATGACAACGAACCAGAATACGAATACACAGAGAAAGAAGCGACGATTTGTCGTCTCACCTCCATCAAAGAGCTTCGGAGCGAAGTGCGAGACGCCATGCACAATGACTTAACCGACGTCATCTCCATGCACACTTTCGTCGGTATTGTGGATGAACAGAAGCGAATAGCGGCCATCCAGGGTGGTGTGAAGCTTTTCCTAGTCGATTATGGGATGTTGTGCAATGAATACTTCTACCAAGTAGGACTAACTGACTTTGGCAATTTCGGATCCATCAAGTTTAGCCCACCTCTCTCGTTACATGAGCTGTTATCGCTAGGAGCAGAGCAGGAGAAGAAGAACGCAGGCGACTCTGCAGACGAAATCGATTGGGACGAGGTCGTAGAGTCAGTCAAGCTCCAGCTGATTGAACGACGGGCACTGCTTTTGGAATACTTCTCAATGGAGATATCCGAGTCTGGCGAACTACGCGCTCTCCCGCTCTTGATGAAAGACTACATGCCCTCGCTCGCGAAGATCCCCCAATTCTTGCTGCGGCTCGGACCGCACGTTGACTGGGATTCTGAGAAGGAATGCTTCCGGTCGTTTCTCCGAGAGCTGGCTTCTTTCCACGTCCCTGAAAGCTTACCGTTGCCGCCAGCGCCCGCCGCGGATGGTGAAGTTGCACCTGAGGAGGACCCTGAGATCACTGCAAGGAGACAGAAGGTCTGTAGAGCGGTTGAGCATAACATCTTTCCTGCCTGTAAAGCTAGGTTGGTCGCTACTCGGGGGATGTTGAAGAGTGTAATGGAGGTTGCCAATCTGAAGGGACTGTACAGGGTATTCGAACGATGCTGAACAACATAATGAAGGAAAAACTGCCAGGTGTTTATCATAATATCTAGAAATATCCATAGACTTATATAGAGGGTATTCGAAAACGAGAAACGAAACGCTCAGAATTACAAACGCCCATATCTCATCACACATTATCTTTCCATTCCCTCCCACCTTAAACCCAACAAACAACGCCTCGAAACATAAACATCATCTAAACCCCCTCTCCGGCGCATAATACTCGACCGCCATCTTCGGAGCCGGCGCATAGTACCCTCCCAGCGGAGCACCAGCGCCACCCTCATTCCCACTTCCACTCCCACTCCCACCACCTGCACCTCCTCCACTACTAGCCCTCATCTCCCTCACAAATTCATCATACGTCGTCCCCCTCCCCATATCCCCATACGCCGATCTACTCTCCCTCAGTCCCGGCGACGACGACGCACTACCACCACTAGCACCAGCAGCAGCGCCAGCGCCAGCGCCTCCAACCTTCCTCCCCGTCACGGGGTCCCGCCCCGCCGCCTGCCTCGCTTCGGCAAGGAGGTCGGGGGTCGAGCTGTGCTTGTGCTGGTATTGGGCGTTGTTGGCGGTGGGGTTTTTGGCGTAGGGGTTTTTGCTCCTGGAGGAGGCGGAGGGGGTGAAGAACTTTTTGAAGGAGAGAGGCATGTTGGTAGGGTTGGGTTGGAGGTGAGGTGAGGTGTGTGGTAGAAGAGATCTGTTTTGTACGCCTTTGAGAGTTTTGGAACGGCGATGTTGGGGCTTGTTTGTCTTTTGTCTTCGTTGATGGATACACACAGTACGGGGGCCGTGGAGGAGGTTGTTCAGGCAGCCGATGTGTTATATCACCAAATCTATCTCTTAATGCACGAAGTCTCCAATCAGAGCAGTTGCCTCTATAGAAGACGGCGTTCGTGTGATATGGCGAACGAGGTAGTGATGAGAGCCTAAAAAGGAAAATAGCATATATATTCAGGAAGTTGGCACCACGAGGCATACGACGAGCTTTATTATATTAATATTCCCACGTTACGGAACGGGTTAAACTCGCAACAAGGCAACAGCTGCATCTCCTCCCCCTTTTGGGAACGCGGGCGAGATTGGAAGGATCCGCCCATCGCACCAACAAGGGCTAGACCGCGCGCAGGGCCAGATTGGCTTTTCATCACAGTTTGAGGGGAAAACAAGGCAAACGACGGGAGTTCATGAATTCCAGGTATTATTTATTGCTACTAAAAGCATCTAGAATGCAGCCATCGTTTTGCTGCTATAGCCATAACATAAACCTCCGTGTGTGTACCTTTGTCTCTCTATCATGGAATGCTGCTCATTGCTGTTTCTCAGTGTCACCGTTCGGCATCGTGAAAAGCGTTAGGCGTACAACCAAAGTGTTCGCGAAATACTTCGTAGTGGAGTGTTTCGAAACTCGTAGTTGGAGAGAAACCGCAGCTTGCCATACGACCATGCAATAACCGGAGAAAAAGGCTCCCATAAAAAATCTCCAGACGTATTCCGGCCGAGAGATACGACCTCGGAGCATACTCCCAGATGATCAAGGTTCAAAAATGAAGTTGAGTAGGGGAGTAAAGAAGGAAAAAAAAAAGAAACCATGCTGCAATACAGGATTAACACAGACCAATGCACTCCGGGCTCTGCTTCTTCGTGTCCCTCGAGGCATAGAGATGAAGCTAGAGACGATGACCGATAAAGACTGATGTTACAGCGCCTCAATTGCGAACGAGTGGGTGCCCAGTTTGGAGCTGGAGCACAAACATATGCCGATCAGTGGACAGGTGCGGCGCGCCTGGTCCAAGTAGAGCTGCTATGCGGTGGGGTCGACCGATTACTGTTCCATCCACTGTTACCAGAAGATCGGGAGGTGTTGTTCGAGTTGGAATTCTCCCTCTGAAAATTCGACGGCTTACGCGCACGCTGGGTCTGACTGGAGCTGGATGGATTTGTGCTGGCATTCGTGGTGCGCTTAGGTCCTTTTTGACCGGAACTCTTGCGGCTACTATTGCCACGCTTCCTTGCCACAAATTTTGTAACGGGACTAGTCATGTTTCCGAGGCGAACCTTAACCTCAATACCTTCCGCGTTCTGCTCGTAATCAAGAATGTTGAGGATAGGCTTGGTTGTGATGTCCATTGGGCGCTGGAACTTCGAGTTTGGTCGACCGTTGGGTGGGAACCCTGCGGGCGGCTCATGGGAAGCCAGGTGGGGAACCTTCGGCGGCTTCACAATGGGAAGTGATCCGAATTCACGCTCCTCGAGCAGTGCAGCCTCAGCACTCGTACGCGACGTTTTCTCGCTGCTGTTGTCGTCCGAGAAAGTCCTTCTGGGCAGCGAAACGGTGGCAGCAGCCACATTACCACGAACCTCGAGTGGGGCCTTGGAGGAAGCCGCAATGGCCAATGCGCTGGGCTTCACGGGAATAGCCGCTTGGAGTGTGGGCGAATGACCAGAAGCAACAAGTTGGGAGGAATTGCTACCCTTATCAAGAAGACTGTTAAACCTTGCCTGCCATTCGGGATTGAGTGCAAGTGGGCGTGCACCTAAACGGGACCTGGGCATACTAACTGCAGCATCGGCTGAGGTTGTGGATTCAGCAATAGCAGCTGGAGGGAGACGCACTCTTGGAGAAGGCCGAGGCATCTTAACCACTGGATTGGTGCTGTCTCCAGTGAAGGCAGGGTGCTGCTCAGTCTCGGGTGGTGGGGGTGAGTCTGGATCAACGAAAGCCGAGATCGCCTGCACGGCAGGTTCAGTCGGCCTGGGGAAGAATCGAGACGGGCGCGCACCGGCCTGTTGGGACGGACCACTCTGGCCACTGGTCTGCTGTGGAAGGGTCACTTCGATCGTAGCCTTCATGAGGTCGTCCTTAGGCTTCAACTCTGAAAGGCCCTGCGGCAACTCAGGCTTTGTGTCGCCCTTGGGGAAGCGGTGACCAGCGGCGTTGTCATGAAGTGTGGCCTGTACCCTGTTCTTTCGGCTCTGATAGGTTTCCGACATGTCCGGTCTGTAGGCCTCACCACCCATACGGTCGTGCTCTTGTCGTGCTTTTTCGATGTGTGCCCGGTCATCTTGCTTGATGGCTGCAGCGAAGTTGCCCCAGCCTTTATCGATGGGAGGAGCAATAGGACCTGGCTTGTGGCCACCACCGACCTGCGGAGGAGCAGCGTGATCAGGTTTGGAGAACATATTTGATTGAGCGAAGGGCTGTCCCGTAGCCAAGTGAGTCTGTGAGGAAGGCGTGGGCTTTAGCTGAGAGTTTAGGTTCAAAGAGGAACTCTGACTCGGGTTGGGAGGTGATGCGAGATGTTGCGTGCTCGAATGTTGGGCTCTGTAACTCGAATCGAAGATACCGTTTCCAAGTGCTCGGTCTTTTGTTTGTGGTGGACCCCAAACGGTAGACCAAGGTCGAGGTTGTTGAAGTGAAGGTGCAGCCCAGGCCGCCTGGGGAGGTTGGCTTGATTTGAGCACCTGCGCACGTGCCTCGCCCTCTGGTTGTTGCATTTGCGTTTGCGTCTGCGATTGTTCTAGAGGCACCTTATTGTGTCTATTGTCTCGACCGAGGGTATTCGCTGATTGTGCATGAGGTTCAGTGAAGAATTCACCGTTTGGAGGGGTGGCTGCCTTGGAGTGAAGGTCGGCGATCTGTTTGTTAGGTGAAGGACTTGGTTTCGGGACTGCGTCTGCACCCTTCATTGGCTTCCCCGCCGGCATATCGGCCGCATGTTGCTTCTTCACAGGATGAGGCTGGTGAACCTTCATCATGCCATACTGTGCGATTTCACCTTCAGAGGTAGGAACCGGTGGTTTTGGAGGTGAGTGAACGGGAACAGGCACTGCTTTGCCTTTCTGCGGTGATCTCTCTGCAGCTTGTGATGGTGACCTTTCGTTGCCCTTTGCCTTGGTGTCTTCGGTGTGGCCTAGATTTTCGAGTTTCTTACGAAGTCGCTCCTTCCGTTCTGCCTCTTCCTTCTGCTCCTGCTCCAATTGCTTCTGCTTTGCGAGCCTAGCTCTCTCCAACTTCTCCCGCATCAGCCGGTTTTGTACCTCCACGGGATCCTCTGTTTGGACGGCAGGAGCTGGTGCTGTACCATCTTGAGCGCCGAATGAACCCACGGATCCATAAGGCGACGTAGGCTGTGCGATGGATAAATTTGGTGATGACTTTTGTGGTGAGACGAGAGGTTGTTCGGGTACTGCCGGAAAGGCATGGCGAGGTATTGGGCTCAAACCATCGGCACCATTGATTGAGTGTGAGCCACGTCGCTGTACATTTAACGGAGGTAAAGGGATCTCGGGTCCTCGTCTGTCTATTGACAATCGTCGCCCACCACTTCCTCCACTAACATTTGATGACGTGCGTCTTCGGCCCCAGGTTGGTGCGTCTGCGCTTGTTCTTGATGTCTGGAAAGCTGCTGAGGGTTCCGCTGGTCCGTCATGTGCAGGCCGTTGCAGGACCGCAGGTTGATTCCGGTAGCCATCCCTGAAGGAACCACGGCGAGTCTCATTAACAGGCTCGTAGCGCCCGCTGTGAGAATTGTATAACTCCCTGTTACCACGCTCGTCTCTCCAAGATCGATTGAAATCATCCGGAGCAATTTCCTTCGCAGGAGCCGGATGAAATTGTGCTTCGTTTCCATATGTATCTCTTTGAGAAAACCGATGGGGTGGCGGCTGCTGAACAGGTGTATTTATCTGTACCGGGGGTACCTTTTCTACAGGTGGAAGAGTAGCCCATGGTGACTTTATAGGAGTGGGCGCGGAGGGTTTAGCAACCAGCGTAGGTTTTTCAGGTTGTCCTTTGAGGATGAGGCCAGATTTTGTCCCAGTCTGAGTATGTGCACCAGGCTTCAAGATCGTCTTGTTGCCCATTGTTGAGCTTGGTCTTTGCGAGCCTTGTGCGGTTGTGGGTGCGGGGATCGTAGCATCCGTTGAAGGTTCCGGTTTCGCCACGACCTTGGGTACTTCAGGCGGTGGCGGTACAGGTTCCGCTTCCACTGCTGCTACCGTAGATTTAGTTCCATCCATCCACTGAACGGTCTCAGGTGCCCAATCGTCCTCATCATCGTCGATGTCTGCCCACTTCGCCTCTTTTCCGTTGTCATCAGCCTGCAGACGTGTTGCCATGTGAATCCCGTACTGCTGCTTGAGTTCCTCGTCCGTGAATTGCTTCGGCGGCGGTGGAGGTACCGGCTGGTTCTTATTCCATACCTTGCTAGCATCAGGACCTGAGCCTCCTCCGTTGGCATTCGATAGGGACGAGCGAGAGGTAAGATTCCCACTACCTGATTTAGCGACCAATCGAGGTTTTGCAGTGAGTTGTGCAGGGCCATTGGTTTGTCCAGGAACGATTAGCTTCTCGCCAGGTCGCGCGGCGGGGATCGAAACGGCGGACTTCGCAAGAAAGTTCTTGGTGACAGAAACGGATTTAAAAGAAGCAGGCTTCTTTACGGAATTCGATCGCAAATGTCCTCCCAGGAGCTCCTTCGTAGGATCGACACTGCCGGGTCGGCTGATATCAGTATCCGAACCACCGCTGACATCTCCAAGTCCCAGTTGTGAGTTGGCCTCTTCTGACGCAGAATACTCGCCAGAATCACCATTAAGAAGTCGGTCTTTCAAGGTTCCTAGGGCAGAGTCCGCCTAGAAAAAAGAGGTCAGAAATGTTCACGAATCTCTCCACGAGCAAATATCTGCTGATCTTCGCCACTGCACCTGCTACTATCCCAGCCCATAGTATCCCGATCCGACTCACCTTGTCCGATAGCTGCGAGACATCTCCCTTGCTCTCTTCCTTATTTGTCGCGTTCGTGCTCGTGGTAGGTAAAGCTTCTGAGGGTTTCGAGTTGACGTTTGAGGTTGCCGGAGGCGCTTTGCCGTTGCCGGCGGGGGTGCTGGTAGATGTCGCATTATCGTCGATGGGCGAGGGGCCACCCATCGACTGTGCTTCCTTTACCACATCGTGGGTGATCTGCTCTGCCATAACAGTTTTCGGAACTGTAGAGGCAGTGAAAGGGTTGCTGTCAGAACGCTGGGTCTTGTAAAGTGAGGCGTGGCAAGGAACAGCGTCAGTCGGAGCTGACCGATCGTCCTTCATACTCCATATATTGAGAGAGAGGGGCAAGAGAGCGGTTCAAGTACCTAAGGTCAGATAACAGAGATCGCCACGGGGGTTGTAGTACGCGCTTCCGTAGAGAGGTTAACTACGTGTTCCGGAAGCGTGCGCGGCGTGTGCGGAGGTTCGGGTTCGAGAATGGATGCGCTGCTATGGCAGGTGATGAAGTTTCGCGCGCGCGACTGTCGCTAACGGCGGAGGAAACTGTGTTCCGTGAAAGGGGAGAAGGCCTTTGGGGTTGTGGCCGGCGATGAGGTGATGAGTGTTTATGAGGGAGTGTTGTGAACAGCAAAGTCCAGGTTGGACGATATGCGGATTGGCCTGAGGAGAGGCTTGGCAGATGCTTCTTTACACAGTAGTTAGAGTGAGAGAGAGCAAGCAGAGCTGAGGGCAACTTCGAAACACCAGCTAGCCACGTCGCACTCTCCCGTATACTATTGTTATTGTAGTGACTCAATGTTTCCGTGAAAATCACGATGCCATATGTTTGTATTAAATGATCGGTATCTATTAATGGAGACACATTCATCGCACACGTGATCGTTCACTTGTCCTTGTAGTTTGTTATGTAGGTAGTTAGCCGTGAAACTGCAGGCGGTACCGCGAATGACGCCGAAAACGAAAGCGTTACGGAGCGCCATGTTCCACGACTTCGTCACTCATCTGTTCACGAAAATCACTCTCTTCCTCACCTTGAAACGTGCCAATACTGTTACAACAATCTTCATAATTACTGGTAGACGATGAACGTGATATGCTTGATCCCGAAATATATCGCTGGAGGTGTGGAGAAAAGCTGTCCTTTGCTCGGGCCGAAGTCACGTTTCCATCTCCCAATATCAGAAGCACAAACTGTTCAGGACGCGCTCATATGGTTGGCAATACACAATCTCATAGGCAGTGCACAGTCTATAATTTGATCGAAAATGGAGTGGCTAGATCTCTTCTTGGCCTCTACTACACGCTATATTTACATAAGCTGCCTTGCCTGCTCAGGTATTGCCGTGAATCGTCTTATCCGCTTAATGAGCGTTGTTCTTGTGGTGGCCTATTGAAAATCAGTAAAAATTCCAATATTGCCGTAGACCTCACTTACGCAGATGGAAGTAGTAGTTCTGTGCGTAACCAAAAAGGGCGAGGACCGCAATGGCGTGGACGAGAGCTATCATTTGTGAGCTTTTGGACTCCTTTCAGCCGAACAGGATGTTTCCGGGATTACTCACGCATGCCAGATGGGTTCTTGCCGAAGTACTTCTTCTGGTAACGTCCGAGAAGGCCCTTGGCCTCACGCTCGGGAGCTGGGCCTCGGGGAAGCTTCTCGTAAAAGTTCACAACCTTCTGCATACGGACGGCATTGGGGGATGCGCCGATGGCCTTTTTCAGTTGTTAGCCGGTATTTCCAGTGAGAAAATTGTGATGAAGCGGTCCACATGGCTATGATATGCCAGGTGCGCCGAGAGTTATTGGTAGCAGTTTGCGGTCGAGCGGGAGGGGGTTTTCGAAGCTTCCAGGGGCGATGCGATCATCGGAAAGGGGTCTTCGGGAGTTCTTACATTAGGTGAGGCAACCTGTACGATTCAATTAGCATGGTGTGAAGCTGTGTTGGTGGTTGGCAAATGCGTACCTTGGGAGGGATGAGGGTGGAAAGAGCGCGCTTGGTAATAAAGCTCATCTTGACGGCTGCGGTCAAATTAGTATCAATTGAAAGCTCCCGACGGCTTTATTACGATTCGGCGACGAACCTGGACTGGCAAGATGGACGGAGCGGAGATGGACGTGGGGGAGAGTTGATGGAAGAGTTGTTGAAAGCTTCGCCAGTGCGGATCGAACGACTTAGTCAGCAACCTCTCGGCGCCTGCTTTCGCAACAACCTCATCGAACTACACTGGGAGCATACAACCCCTCCAGCAACGCCAACCACGCACAATGTCCGCGCTTCCAAGGTCAATTGGCTCACGCCTCATCCCAGCGACTCTTAGGCCTGTTGCCACCAGGGCCGCAACCCCTCGTTTCCGCACATATGCCACCGACGGTTCGAGCACCGAACCTCCAACGAAGACGAGCCCCAGCGATGCTCCCGCCGTAAGACACACCGAGACGACCAATATTCGAGAGGCAGGCCCTGCCGAGGGTGCCAGTCATCAGCCCGACTACAATGTTGCCGTGGATTACCGAACCTCGTATGTAGCTCTGTTCCACCAGCATGCTAAGTATATGCAGACCTCTGACACCAAGCAGTAACTTCTCCCCGATCCCCAGGCGTGTGATGGACGGAAGCGAGCCAGGCGAGTCTGTCGCCGCTGCTGTTCTCTCTGGCGCCCCGGTCGATCTTCAGGCTAGGACTGTGCGGTAAGTACATATCTTCGTGTATACGAATCATCCAGAGATAGCGCTAAAGGTGTATCGCAGGATCTACCGTCCCACTAAGCCTGCCACTCAGTCTGGCGACTGGCACTCTCATCACTGGTTGATGGATTGGGATCCTCTCCAGAAGGGCTGGCGATGGGAGAACCCATTGATGGGATGGCAATCATCTGCCGATTTCATGAACGGACACAGGATACAGTTCAAGACTAAGGAGGACGCCATTGCATTTGCCAACAAGCAGGGCTACGAATACTTTGTGCAGGAGCCCAACGAGCGCAAATTTGTCCCCAAGGCATATGCCAACAACTTCACGCACAGCCCAAAGAAGCTCAAGATGATCCGAACAAAGTAGAGATATCACCTAAAATTGGATGGGGCAATGGGGTTGCATCGCATGTATATACAAGTCTGAATTGTAACATTTCCTTTCTCGGCGTGAATTTCGATGCAGTGATATCAGGTTGTGAGTTTCGTGCGCTTTCAGCCACCTAGGATACGCCAGCGCTCCAAACGCTCCTGGCTTCTCGCAGGATGAACCTGCACCGACCTTAACAGAGGTTCCTTCCAGACAAATCAAGCAAATCAAACAGCGTAGTTTCCGTTCGCAAAGACGAAATGACCCACGCAAGTAATTAGTCCGCCCACACTTCACATCCACTTCAGTGAAACAGTCATTCGTTACTTACCCTGCTGCCTGCTCTGAACCAAACAAACGCAAAGGCATAAAGCGACTTTCTCCACGTGCATCACGAATAGAGCAGCCCCAGCTTTGCATACACCGACTCTCCATCGTTCGCTGAATCTCCGGTTATCTTCTGCGCTTGTATCACTCATAATCCCACCACCGACAGTCTGCACTAGAAGGATAGACGATCGAGCCAATAGAATGGGTCGGGGCGCATATGATATGATAAGTTGTTTTCTTACCAGCAGAGGCATTCGATTGTTATACCGCTAAGCTGACAAGTGAGGATGTTTACAGCAAAAATCCTCAGGTCACAAAAGATCCCAGCGCACCAGAAGATCATGATGCCATCAAGAAGGAAAATGTATGTATTATTCCCCATGTATACTAATAGTTTCATTTCAACTACTCGTTCATCATGGATGTGGGTAAATTTGGTGATACTAGCTAATGAGCATACCACATGCTAGTCGAACATCCAACAAGACAGTAATAAAGATTCGCGGAAGGAGGAACAGAATGGGAAAAGCGAAAGCGACAGAGCAGTATCGTTTCCTCTGAGACAGTCTTCCTTCATATGTTCATCATACTCATTTGGAAAAATTATAGAGACCAAGCAATGGCATGGATCCAGGTAATGCTGAGCTGCTCCCGAATATTTACGAACCTTCACCTATAGCCAACGAGATGTATCGTCGGTGTCATACTCACACCTGGGACCATGCACAGTTACTATCCCAGGATAACGACAAGCAAGACTCGGAATACTTGAAATCACTGCCCGGCAATTCAGGTGTAAGTATCCATTTCATCTATTCTAGTAACCCGGAATCATTTGTCGTTAAACTCATCAATTCATCATGGAACTTCTATATACAACAAGAAGTATTCTATATACATTAGGAATTATACTTTATGATACGAGTGGAAGAGGAAGGATGAAGTGGGTCAACACGCTGACGTCGCGATATCCAGGTATACCGAACGATACTTCCAAATGGTCCAATAATTCCAATAATTCCAACGGCTCCGCATAACTCGCTCTCATCCCCGCCGTCCGCCGAGCGGAGCGAGGGGGATAATGGAAGGAGGTCATGGCGTCCATGGACGCCGACAGACTGAACCAAAGCTGCGGAGTCGTGGCATGATCGGATGTTGCCATAGGAAAGATGCGCGCAGAACTCCCGAACATATCGACCGTCGATGAGTAAATCCTTTTTATCTCCCATCAGTCTAGAAGGTTATGCAACTGCCGTCATTGGAGACCACTTAAAGCAATGTCTACCAGCAAAAGACGTTATACTTAAATCGGCCGTTAATCGGGTAGAATACGGGGCGGAATTTAAGATTGTCTCAAGTCAGGCCTTCCGCCGTTGAGCAGGTTCTTGATGAGGGAGTTCGTTGAAGTCTGTTAGAAGGGGGGTTTCATGTCAGCCATTATACGGTTTCAGAATCTTAGAGGTGGGTAAGAAACTATGAGAGAGTACAAAACGGGAACATAAGTTTGGAAATTTAATACATGAATCCCCAATCATGATCCGTATGACATGTAATAAAAGCGAGTGAGATGCGTGAAAAGATGAACAGAGATGGAAAAAAACCAAGCGAATGTCTAGGTTGGGTATCTTTTTGCAACGCAAGCGCGACGACTTTCGTTTCCACAAACTTCTCACTCGATCGTTTCAACGCTCGATAGTCATCATGTTCCTCGTCACCCTCTATCCGTTTTGTAATGCAACACAGTGGTGGTACAGTGCTATCAAAAACAAATAATACACAGCGCCAGACAGAGAAACGAGCGATATGTCATGGGTATACGCAAACAACTCCCAAAACATGAGAAAAGAAATAGACAAGAAAGGAAATAAAGAAAACGCAAACAATGGTTCTCCAGCGTTTCTCTCCAATCAACGCATTCATGGAGGAAACCGTGAAAAGAAACGTCCGAAAAGGGTAATTGGGAGTACATGTACCCAATCCCTCTTACCTTGGACGATAGATGACAGCTGACTGATTGTTTGGCAAAGAAAATGAAGAATCTTCTTCATCACTTACAGTCTTGATAGCTGACGCGAGCGGGGTGTAGAAGCGATCTGCGATCTTAGTGTTTCCAGATGCGTTGGGGTGCTCTCCGTCGGTGGTGTCGGTGCTGGTGTTGAAGCCGGTGTTCTGGTCGACGACGATGACGGGCGAGCGCGCGGTCGAGATTCCAGCTGCCCAGCCTGGGATGGCGGCGTTGAGCTGCTGGATGCGGGTAGAGGAGTCACCGAATTTGCCGGGTTGGATTGGGATGAGTTGAGCGACCTGTGTGAATTATTGTTAGCCTTCTTCTTGAACATCTGTTCCTGCAAGTTTATTGCATGGTTCTTCCGGTGATCTGCGAGGCCGTGAAGCAATTCCCCGACGGTTGACAGGTGGTGATCAATGTCCGTCGAAGCTTATTCCCCGGACGGCGATCGCATGCATGCATTTTGAAAAATATTCATGCAAACATAGACACAAGCATGTCGGGAAGATGGACCCTCGACGTGACCACACCACGTGGGGTTTGTGGCACTGCCAGGTACCGGTGCGCGACGTGAACGCCCCCCAACATGTTGGTTGGATCCTTCCATGTGGTAATGTGTCAGATGCCGAATTGGGGGCCATGCCGAGCGCGCCTATTAGATGCTGCGCTTTCTTTTTTTGCTCCCCCATCCAACCCCGTCTTGTATAAAAATGCAAAGGCAATCTTCGCATAAATACCAAGTTGGGAATCGGTAGGGCAATGAGGCTCCCCAAGCCACAATCTTATACTCCGACTCTCCCAAATTGTAACACGGATCAAACGATGATGAAATAGACTTACCAAGATCTTCATGGTGGCCTTGCTTGCGCGCATCTGGCCTACGAGGGCAGTGTAGGCATCGAGAGTCTGCTGAGTCGTCTTGCCCTGGATGATATCGTTGGTGCCCAAGTGCATCATGACAATGTCGGGTTTTGCGGCACTAAGCCAGCCAGGAAGTTGGTTGTTGGCGACGATGCCAGTGGCCTGGAAGCCGGAATGGCCCTCGTGCTCGGCGTCGAAGGGGAAACCGCAGTCTCCACCCTTGACCGAGCCTACGAAGTCGACGTTGGTAATGCCGGAGTTTTGCAATTTACGCCAGAGGTTTGCGCGCCAGCATCCCTGATGGAAGATGTCATGTCAGTGGCTTATTCGAGGATGAGGAAAGAGAAATTCTTTGGAGATGGATTGCAATTGCGTAGTTCGAATGGTCGAGCATGTTCAAAGTGACGTGGCTTCTGGGATGGTCCTTGATGTGTAGAGTTGACGTGTGGTCGAACAATAGACATGTGGGGCCAAACGCATTGCAATCACAAAGTAGGAAATGGCTGAGAATGAATACTTACCGTAACAATTGAAGCTCCAAAAGGCATGACCTTGACAGTGGCAGCGGCAGTTTGTCCAGCGAAGGCGAGAAGCCCAAGGGCAGCAAAAGATGTGATCTTGACCATGGTGATGAATGTGAGGGGGCCGATTTGGAGTGGAGGTGTTTGGAGATGAATGTGCGTGCTTAAGTGACGAGATGATTTTTCTAAAGGAAGATCTGGCGGTTTATATCTTGAAGGAACAGATGGTCCAAATCCAGAAGTTTAACGGCGAAGCTTGACACCAGGAGGAAGGCTATAGCGCTTATGCGTTGGAGGAGTAAAGATAGCCGGGGCGTTGTTCCTTTCGAGGGTAGTTGAGGTTCGTCTGGCCACACAGCCCGAATGACAGTAATCACGGCCCCAGGATGGAACGATGGCAAGTTGTTGGCAACGTCTCAGGTGGATTGACTGAACTGAGGAAGTCAAACGTAGTGGGAAGGTGCAGGGTAATCTGGTGCGATCAGATGGTATAGGGAGTGCCGGCGTAGATATTAAATCCAGGTCAGGTCGGCGCCGTACTCTGTCACCAGGGCTGTTGCACGCACAAAGCGGCTTCCGCCAGCTCCCAGAGCAAGGGCTAGCAATAGATCTAGTCCCTCCATTTTTTTTTAATCGTTCTGGATTTGCATTATGATCCTCGTACATGTCGGTCGTCGGTCAGCTGGGTAGACTACGGCGAGGGTGGGGACATGTACGGCGATATGATACAAGATTGGCCTACGCCAGACACGTTCGAGTTTCCGTGGCCGCCCATCCAACAGCACAGCACAATTTTAGCACGATAGTCCACATAGTGTGCTAAATGAGATCGGGGCAATTGATAGCGCGGGACTGACTGGGGTTAGATTGCACCCAGGGACGCAGAGACGCAGGTGGCTGTGGGAGAGCCCTGGCTCTCGACTTTGGGCCATAGTTGCATTTAGGTCGCCAACACTTAAAAGCCTTAAGGTTAACCTTTTCCCTCGTGATTTACAGTATTAGGGAAGATTGGCGCAGGGATCCAGCCACCTCAAGGAACCACGTCTACATAGGGATGTAGCTCGATCCTGTCGCCAGAAAGCCTCGCCCAAAAAGGGTTATGTGGCGTCCTGCGGCCGTCCAACGCTGGACTAGCGAGGTAAAGCGGTGGACCAAAGGAAGCTCGAATAATAGTTAGGTAGGATGTTAACAGTTAGGGTAAACAGAGGACAAAAAGTACTGGTATGCCTTGTGTGGGAGTTGGTTGGTGGAGAGGAAGAGTAGGGGAAGCTTCCAGGGGAGGGATAAAGATTTAGCGGCCGGGAGATGGTGGTAAGCGACGACTAACCACAAGTAATCCTTCCAAAGAGGGGATGAACTGTTGAACATACGATCTAGATCAATGCAGTACACTGAAAAACATATTGCCTTTGCGGCATGACCTCGTATATGGAATTCGACCCTTCTCAGACCCTTCTTCTTCTTCTCTGGTTTGTGAGATAGCATAGTGGACGTTCAGCTTATGCTTTTGTGCTCTCCACTTCTGCACGGCATTTTTCAGCAACCGTCTGCTGGGATAAATGCCGCAATCACTGTGTACAAACACCCGGAAACAGCAGGCATATTAGGGTAACAATAAGGATGTATGGGATCATGAGAGGATCGTGGCACGCACCCCCGGGACCGCTATGGTGAACCTTACCGTACAGGAACAATTAACCAAAATACGAACGGGAAGCAAGAAGCGTACCCTCACTGCTCAGGTCGAACGAACGACGATCTTTGATCTCTGCGGAGTAACCTCTTCGTCACCCATTTTTGCGGCGCAATAGCGACATGTACTTGTAGAGCGCCCATCTGTCTCTTGCATGTCGCGCGCAAGTGGAGTGGCCTAGCTGCGCTTTGCGTATGTGGCATCAATTGGGCGAGTCAATACAGATGTCAGTCGTGACATTCCCACCAGCGGCGATATGCCAAAGAAGCTTTCCACCATGCAGAAGCGAGGTCGTGCTCCTGAAAAGAAAGGTAACATCTCTGATGATCCTGACGCATCGAAGTTCGTTAGCTCCAATAAGATCTGCATGCATCGCTTGTAGGTATTGTCTACCTATGGGCAGCACAGCAGCCGCTACGTCCTGGACTGTTTTCTAGCCAGCCTCAGTGTGAAGGTCCAGCTGTCAAAAGACACAAGCGTTGAAAGTCGATTTCTCTCCAGGGCAGTCTCGATGATCCGTAGCCAGCCACGAAAAACGAATAACGCCGCACGAAGCCCATAGCCCTACACAGTCCTCCACGACCGACGGCACGGCACGTCCACGTTGTATGTACGACGTAAGAGAAACAGAGGAAGGACGAACGCACTGGTCGTGTCCACGGCCCTAAGTAGCCAACAGCAACTGTGGGATGAAGCACAGCACAGCCAGCAAGCAAGCGATCGAAACAATGGAAGCGAGCTCACACTTGCGATCAGCGCCCGGCGCTACTTGCACTCGTCGCGCGCTGAGGCTGGCTGTGCCTGGCGATGCCGTCTGTTGATCGTCAGTCACACACCAGCTCAAGAACAGATTTTGCATGCGGTCACTGGCTTCATCCACTCTCTTGTTTTGTTTAACAAAAATCACCACGCTCTTTTGACAGGCAAACGCTCTCCCGACCGAAAATGTTAAAGCTTTCCGGAACTATCCCGTCCCGAAAATGATTGTCTATTTTAACACATTATTGTTGATCATAGCGTGTAGAGTCTGGACATGCCTGTACACAGTAGGCTGCCCCGGCGTGCCCGGGGAAAACGCGGTGCACCGTGCCAGGGAGTGCGCAGGCAGGGCCGACTCTTAGTAATTCAGGCCAGGCCCCCAACCATGACGCCGAATCGTGAAGGGGAATAATGGGGACGGGGGACTACCGTTTGGGTGTCGTGGGTGTGTGGGCAGGGTTGGGCGCCAGAGACTACCTACCTCGGAAAAGTGCATCGTCTCCCCAATATTCCCTCTTTACCAACATACAAGTATGACGAAGTTGCATGAACATCTTCATTTCGCGCAGTCGTACTTCGATTCTTGCTCTAGGTTGTTGCCATCACAATTGCGTTTCATCATTTCACCATTTCTCCACCCTTACCGCACCCAAAATGAAGAAATACGATGCTCGAACAAACAGCCTTTCGGCAATAAAAGAGGAGACACCGCTGATCAGCGCTGATCATTTACTAAAATAAATCGGGACTTATCAGTGCATGCAGCATTTGCGATCGAGAGTGACAAGGTTCGATCAACAAGGCGGACGAACCTACATCAGATGATGTTTTATTCATCATAAAATCACAATAGGAAAAAACGCGAGTGGATGCCAGCGCGGCTCCCCGCTCCGCCCCATGAAAGAAAGAGATAGGACCAGCATCATCAACACTGTATGAGGGTGCTGCTGCAGGTGCGGATGGTTTCAAGCGAGGTGTCTTGAAGCTCAGGTCAAGCTTTTTCTGTTTTGCAGATCCTGTGCTGGGACCATGCAGTCTCCTAGACCCTGGGTCCTCCCTCCTGGGATTCAATTCGTGTCACAACCGCGGAAATCAAAACGAGAACGTTGGAAAGTCTTGCAGATTTGTAACACCTGAGCCATTCGATGGTTCTGTCAGGGTTAAAGAAGCTCCCAGCTTGGCTCGGCTGCTTCGTCGAAACTTTGCGCCACTGTGTCAGAGATCGCTTCACGTTACACCAGACTGGTGCTTCAATTGCGCCTTTTCCAAAGCGTGTCAGGCAATGAATGGAGTCAATCTTCATTCCCCTCGAAATGAGCAGATATCCGTAATCTTCACCATTCAACTAACCATCTTTATAGGGATTAGCCTATGATAGATTTTGAGATATGTAAATGTGAAGACGTGGAAAGCAACAGAATAAACATAAAATGAAGTATAGCTACGAACGATATTTCCAACCCCCTGAATTTAGATCGCACTCTTCAGTAACTAGATACCCATCGTCTCGCTATCTTGCTAGGAACACCTAGACACTCATCTTATTCGGATCCTCAGCCTGTCGCCCTTGAAGGCTAAGGATTTCTCTCTCGGCCTCAGTCCGACCCTCTTCAGGCAGATACTTGCAGATGATAGGAATGGCAATCGCCAGCAGCATGCCAAAGCCAGTGAAGGCACCCGTCGTTGCGAATCCCGTAATGAACTTCGGCCCATCCTTAGCAGGCCAAAGGTGGCTACCATATACAGCGGAGAGGTTGCCAACCGAGTTCACGAACGCGACCACGACCGCACGCTTTTCGGCGGGGAGAGCGATGACTTCGGACGCCCAGGTGAGGATTAAAGGCAGAGCCGTGTATAGGCCAGCGATATAGAAGCACAACATGGTGTAGAGCACGACGGGGTGAGAGACAGCGATGCAGACGATCGTGCAGACGAAACTGAGGCCGAAGCAGCCGGCAACGTGCCAGCGACGGTCGCCCGTTCGGTCCGCGGTGAAAGACAAGACGATCAGGAAGACGGCGCCGACCATCCAGATGGGAATCGTCATGTACTGCGCCGTGACAGAGGTGTATCCCATCTGGCGAACGATGGTCGGGATGAAGTATGAAATGGTGCAAGAACCGAGGTTCATGACGAAGAGTAGGGTGAAGATGTAGGTCCTGGGGTCAGCGAAGGCTGCCTTGACGGCTTGCCAATGCGTGAGCTTGACGGTGTGGGCGGATGCGTTGGTTCGACGGTCGTGCATCATGCGGACGACGGCAAGTTGCCTCTCTTCCAGCGAGAATCGGGTGGTGGTTTCGGGGAAGTCGAGCAGGATGAACTTGAAGATCACGGCGAATCCAACAGTGCAGACACCCTCGATCAGGTACAGCCAGCGCCAGCCACGCATGCCTCGCACACCCTCCATGTTTCCGGTAATGGCACCAGCGAGTAGGCCACTCAAGGCGCCAGAGAATACGGAAGCCGTGAAAAAGATGGAAAATCGTTTGCCTGCACAGTATCGTGTTAGCGATTTCGACTTCGACACCGTTGTGGTTTATGGCTATCCAACATACCAATTTCTGCTTTCTTGTACCAGCAGGTCATGAGGAACAAGACTCCAGGGAAGAATCCAGCTTCAATACATCCAAGGAAGAACCGCAGAACGAGCATGTGCTGGTAGGTTTTCACGACACTTCCCAACGAGCAGACCGTACCCCAGACAATCATAAGACCGAGGAGATAGTATGACGGGCGTGCCCTGGTCAAAAGGAGGTTGGAAGGTACCTCACAGATGAGATATCCGATGAAGAAAATACCGAGCAGCAACGCATATTCTGGTCCACCAGTTAGTATATCGAATCTACAGAATCGCGTCCCACCCAAAGTATGAACTGGAAGATTGAAACTTACGAGAATCAGTGAGTTTCAAATCAGCCCCCATACCGGCCACTCTAGCATTTCCCTATAAGTCGCCTGTCAGAAAAGTCCGGTGTAGAATGTATGCACTCGCAAGGCTTATGGGTTCCAACTTACGATGTTCTGTCTGTCAATATACGCCAGAATGTACATGAACCATAAGGTCGGCATCATGAACAGATCGAGCTTTCGAACCAGTCGCTTCTCAGCGTCCGTGTTGGGGACGTAGGTTTGCAAAGCGCTCTCTAGCTCCAGTACATGGTCTGGCAATTCCACTGCGTCGCCGACGATATCAGAACGAGCGGGCGCGCTCTCCACAGCTTTGATTTCTGCCATCTTTGCGTCTGATAGAGTAGTCGATTGCATGGTAGTAGCAGACAGTGGTTAGTTGATGATCGACTCTTTATGGTAAGGAGACAAGATGATGCTGTGCAGTCTTGGAGGAGGTTGAAGCCTTCTTATAGATCAGAAGTCGTGGCTGATATGTGCCGAGATAGCAGTTGTATCTGGTCCGCCCTCTAGCACTTAGACCTTCTGTTATCTTTCCAGGACACGATTCGGAATGGGAGCTATGATACTACGATTCGAGTGTTGCTCAGGAACGAAACGAAGGTGTATGCAGGCTCCACGTGATACCTGGAGATACCAGATACCCATTATCTGAAGAGTGCAGGCCCGTTCCCCGCTCCCCAGGTTTGTTATCTGAGATACTAACTACGATCCACTTCAATTCGGTCATGCTCCCTGGCCATTAGCTTTGTTTTCGGACCGTTCTGATTTGGTGGCGTCCGGATCCTTTTTGTGGGACCGGCATTTCATCGACGTTGCCGGTCCATAGCCGGCAACCTCTAATAGTTGGAGACGGTAACATTGTCGAGGAACAACACGGCAGGATATCATTATCCTAATCTTTGTTGGGAACCGGTAAAGGGGAGAACACTCATTAGTTCCGTCATTAGAAAAGGCTCGTTGATAATTGAATTGAAGAAGGCCGGGAAGATGCATTCGTTAAACACTTTGCCGGTGCTTAGCTCTCAATTTCGAGGTATGCGGATCACGTGATTAGAGTTACAGACAAATAGTCTGCCCCTTACAGCGATACATCTAAGTGGGACCGGATGAATGTTAGGACAAATATTGGGAATTGGGCAGGTAGCATGCCGGATATCAGGTTGAAAGTATCATGTAAACTGATTTTCAGGACGATGTCGCTGATATGGACCAAGAAGAAATGCCGATTTATGGAGATGAATTGAGTTGAGCTGGTTCTATATACTGCACAACTACCAGCTCCAACTAGAAACTCATGTGAGATAACGCAGTCGTGGTATTCAAAATTAATTCGCTGCTAGATAGTAATTACTCCTTTCTTTGCCATACTATCTTCTCAGCCATGACCGACTCCTCTCGCCATGTATATCGCATTGCTTCTATCCCAGGAGATGGGATTGGGATAGAAGTGACAGAAGCAGCTTTGGAAGTTCTCAAAGCAGCTGTTCAGAAGTCTGGAAAGTACACTATCGAAGCGACACATATTCCATGGGGCACTGCTTTCTACAAAGAAACGGGGTCTTATCTACCCGACGACTTTCGATCGACCCTTAAAAGCTATGATGCAATTCTCTTCGGCGCAGTAGGTGCACCAGGTATGATTCTCCTGACTTTCCTACATCGGGACTTATTCGCTATCCGTACCATTCGCTAAGGCCAATGGCATTGCTAGACGTCCCTGATCACATCTCCCTCTGGGAACTGCTCTTAAAAATGCGAGGGCCCATGCAGCTCTACGCCAATGTCAGACCAATTCGCTGCTTCACCAAGCCCAGGCTAGATGCGGAGCCCGCACATCTCGACTGGCTGCTTGTGCGAGAAAACAGCGAGGGCGAGTACTCGGGCCACGGTGGACGTTCCCATGTCGACCAGAACTGGGAAGTCGCCACAGACACAAACGTCTACACCCGGCACGGCATCCGTCGTATAATGAAATTCGCCTTCGAGGCTGCGAGTAAGCGGCCCCGCAAGCACCTGACTGTCGTCAGCAAGTCGAATGCTCTACGATACGGCCTTGTCCTGTGGGACGAGGTGGCGAAGGAGACTGCGAAGGACTTCCCGGATGTCACGTGGGATAAGGAATTGGTGGACGCAATGACTATCCGCATGGTGCAGAAGCCCTGGACTATCGATACGGTGGTGGGTACGAACCTTCACATTGACATTTTGTCGGATCTCGCCGCTGCTCTTGCGGGCTCTATTGGAATAGCACCGTCTGCAAACTTAGACCCCGAACGTCAGAATCCGTCTCTATTTGAGCCTGTACACGGAAGTGCGTTTGATATTATGGGGAAAGGTATTGCTAATCCTATCGGCGCCATCTGGGCGGCGGCAAATATGCTCGAGTGGCTTGGTGAACAAGAGTCAGCCGACGCCATCTTGAATGCTATCGCACATGTGTGCAATGAGAAGAAGGTGACTGCCGATATGGGAGGAGATCTGAATACTAAACAAGCTGCGGCTGCTATATGTGAACAACTTCTGAAATGAAGGAATTCAAAGATCATGTTTGAGGGGTGTTTAGAAGAATCAAAAACTTATCTGTACTTGGTTAGAATCTGTACTGAAGGAACAAGTCATTATAGTACTTTTCTTATACTTAGAGTCGAGGAAAAATATTAGTGCATAATAAAGAAGATCTACTATTGGACTAGACTTCATCTGCACTGAGCCGTGTCTGCTTCAAAAATCAACCAATGTTAGATTATACCTACTGCATTGTCACTTACTACTGAGAAGTAATATTATGTCTATAAATCAAGAGAAGCTAACCTCTATCTCCCTAACGTTCAATGAAAAGATTATATGGACACGTATAGTATACGGGTCATTTATTATTCAATTATCTATTAATTGAAATAAGTATTGACAATATTAGAGAGTATTCTTGAAGTTCTCTATACCGCAGTAGGGGAGTCGTGCTGCAAAACATTATGTACATTCATTTTTGGGCTTCCTTATCTAACATAGCAAAGCAAAGGACTGCCACAGCCTCTATATGTTCGGTCTTTGCCTACGATCGCAAATGCTACAAATAATTTCCCTATTGGATTCCAGTCATGATCATCTTAGTGACGAGGAATTCGTCAATGCCATATTTGCTGCCCTCTCTCCCGAAACCACTCTGCTTCACACCACCGAATGGTGCAGCTGGATCGCTGATGGCTCCTGAATTTATTCGTTAGTCAACCAGGCCAAAAGCTTTTGCACAGCAATGAGACGTAGGGTCTTGTTACTTACCGACATTGACACCAACCATGCCTACCTCAAGGGCCTCAGCCACCCTCCAGCAACGACTCGAGTCCTTGCTGAAGAAATAACCTGCCAAACCAACCTCTGAATCATTAGCCATATCAATGGCTTCCTTCTCAGTGTCAAATGGGTAGAATGAAGCAACTGGGCCAAATGTCTCCTCAACGCCGACCTTCATGCCCGGCTTCATGTCAGCGAGTACAGTAATATCGAAGAAGTTGGATCCGAGATCAAGACGCTTGCCGCCATGAACGACGCGAGCACCCTTGGAAACCGCGTCCTTGACATGCTCTTCAACCTTTGCTATCGCCCTGCCATGAATGAGGGGACCATGCGTGGTAGTCTCAGCCATACCATCTCCTATCCGGAATTGCTTTACTGCTTCAACCGTCATGGAGATGAATTTGTCGTACACGTTCCTATGCACCAGTATGCGATTTGCGCACACGCAAGTCTGACCCGAAATCCGGAACTTGGACGCAATCAAGCCAGCGAGTGCGACATCGAGATCGGCGTCTTCAAAAACAATGAATGGAGCATTGCCTCCAAGCTCAAAGGACAATTTCTTCAGCGTTGATGATGACTGCTGCATCAGAAGCTTTCCGACCGGGGTTGAGCCTGTAAATGAGACCTTTTTGATGATAGGATTTGTCGTAAGGACCTTGCCAACTGCTACAGTATTGTCTAACGCTGTAATCACGTTGACTACTCCTTTAGGGATTCCAGCTCGATGAGCGAGCTCTGCAAGCGCAAGCGCTGTTAACGGTGCTTCCGCAGGAGCCTTCACGACAACAGAGCAACCGGCGGCGAGAGCAGGTCCAGCTTTGCGTGTAATCATTGCCGCAGGGAAGTTCCAAGGAGCAATTAAACCGCACACACCGACCGGCTCTTTTTGGGTGATAAGTCGACAATTGGCGTTACTGGCCTGGATCGTGTCGCCATAGATTCGGGGTGCCTCTTCCGAAAACCACTCCAAAAAGCTCGCAGCGTAGTTCACCTCCGTCCTGGAATCGGCTAATGGCTTGCCATTCTCCCATGTGATGATGCGTGCCAGATCTTCGACATTCTCAATCATGAGCTCGTACCATCTTCGCAGAAGGCGGGCTCTCGTTCTGGCTGATGTCTTTCGATAAGACCGGAAGGCCTCTTGGGCTTGCTCAATTGCAGCCTCTGTATCATGTTCATCAAACTCAGGGCACTTGGCTACCTCAACATTTGTCGAGGGATCTGCAGCAATTTGTTAGTGAATCGCAGCCTCGAAACACAGAGTTGATGATCACTATCCAGACCGAATACTCTGGTGTGGCGTTCGGTTCTCGTATTTATCAGAAAGGGTGCGTTGAAAAGGCTTCCACATACTATCGACTGAAAATGTCTTCCCAGACGCTGCTCCGACCCACTCGCCATTGACATAGCATTGCGTCTTGAGCAGCGAGCCATCGCGTAGCTATTAAAGAAGTGAGCGAGAAATCGGCGTAAAGCACATGACACAAAGGGAGTGTTGGGAAACGTCAAAAAGACGTCAAGCCAGAAAGGTCATTCTGCAACATGTTGGGTTGACCTACAAATGATGTAGCTTTGATTGCCATTTTGAACTCTATGAAAAGAAATAACACGATTGAGATGTATGCCGCAAGTCGGGTAAATCTAGAACAATGGAAACTATATGTCTATTATCAAACCTCTACAATTATTATTATTGTCTAGCTCGGCAATGTTCCAAAACATCGAGAATTTTCTAGCCATGCGATATCGCCATTAATTTCCCTTTTGGTATCCGTGATGGTGGATTCTATCACACAGAGCCGGGGCGTTGCCGGGTTGAGGCGTTCACGATGTGCCTGGATGATCAAATAGTGGGGCCGGCATTGCTAGTGAATGCCGGATAAGGGCGGCACAGAGATGGACCCAGAGCCTCAAGCATCGGCCCTGGCGACTATCGCGTCTAGATGTAATTTCAATTATCACATAGTTCATTTTGAGCCCTCATGATGTTCGCGAGTCTTGTTCTTTTGGTCGGGGTAAGGGCGCTAAGAGGAATTATCAACCCGTAGGAAGACTTGGTACAGCGGAACACCTGGAATAAATATCAACTCCGCTTCCCCCGTCCTACCATCACCAAGTCAATACAATTGTAAGACAAGATGCCTGCCCTTTACGACAACTCCGTCATTACTGAGGTACCTGGCCCTCTATCAAAGGCCGCCTGCAAGAAACTGGACAAGTTTTTTGACAGCCGTGCTGTCCATTTCGTTGTGGACTATGATAAGAGTGACGGCACATAGTAAGTCATTGAGATTATACTAAGGTACAGCTTTGGTAGTCATTTATGCTTACAATTGGTGAAGTATCGTTGATATAGACGGAAACCGTTACCTAGATGTGTAAGATTCTCTATGTTGAGATATATTTAATGTCGTCTTTCTAATCTTAGCACAGGTACTCTCAGATTGCATCTATCCCTGTTGGATACAACAATGCTGCTCTCATTGCAGCTGCTCAGTCCCCTGACATGATCTCAGCATTGGTGAACCGTCCTGCTCTTGGCAACTTCCCTTCAAGCAGGTGGCATGACATCTTGCAAGATGGTCTGCTAAAGGTTGCACCAGAGGGACTTAACAATGTCTTTACCGCTCAGTCTGGTTCTGAGGCAAATGAACTCGCATATAAAGCTGCATTCATGCTTTACAGGCGAAAGGAGCGTGATGGTGGAGATTGGACTTCTGAGGAGGTCTCCTCGTGTATCAACAACGCAAAGCCCGGCTCTCCAGAATTGGCCATAATGAGCTTTGCAAACTCTTTCCACGGCAGAGGCTTCGGTAGCTTGTCAACTACAAGGTCTAAGGCTGTTCACAAACTTGACATTCCCTCTTTCAACTGGCCTCAGGCGCCATTCCCAGCCTTAAAATACCCTCTGGACAAGTACACAACCGAAAACGCTGCTGAGGAGCAAAGATGTCTCAAAGAAGTTGAGAGACTCATAACTTCATGGTATGAGATCCCGTACTCCTCCGTATCCGACGAATTTTCTTCTTACACGAAAACTCTAGGCACTGCCCTGTTGCTGGACTCGTAACTGAGCCCATTCAAAGCGAGGGCGGCGACAACCATGCCTCGCCCGCCTTTTTCCAAGGTCTTCGTGACATCACCAAGAAACATGGCATTGTCATGATCGTGGACGAGGTTCAAACAGGATTCGGCGCAACCGGCAAGTTCTGGGGCCATGCCCACTGGAACCTTACTTCACCTCCTGATATTGTCACTTTCTCCAAGAAGGCACAAACTGCTGGCTACTTCTTTGGTGACCGCATGCTGGTTCCGGACAAGGCTTACAGGCAATTCAACACCTGGATTGGCGACCCAGCCCGTGTGATTATGAGCAAGGCCGTTATCAACGAGATCCTCGACAAGGATCTCGTGAAACAAACCGTAAGTTTACATTGATATTTGCGCTCCATTCTAAACGCATAAGGACGAAAGTACTAACCTCCTTAGGCTCGTGTTGGCGATGCACTATACGCTGAGTTGGACGGACTTGCACAGAAATACCCAGATCTCGTTATGAATCTCCGTGGCAAGGGACAAGGGTAAGTGGCCACTGAACGGACTCAGAAGTCGCGAACAGTCTTCTACGCCGCCCTTGGACAACAGCTGATTGACCATCTTTACAGAACATACTTTGCATTCGACACAAAGGACGCTGCCAGTCTTGTGTACACGATGAAGACTCTGGGTGTCAACATCGGCACCTGCGGAAGCCAGACTGTACGTCTCCGGCCGATGCTCATCTTTGATGAATCTCATAGTAAGTAGCGAAATATCCACATGACGTAGCGGAAAGGCTCAGGGGCAAATGTAACTAACATTATACGTACAGTTCCCATTTTAATTTCTACTTTGGACAAGGCGTTGGCCTCGATATAAGGGAGACATCTTGCATAGTAGGAGAAGTTTGGACCGATGTTGGACGAAGCATTCATAGCAGCATTCACTTAGATTATCATTTTGACACGATCAAAATAGAGATGTTTTCAATTCATGTTCTCAAGTACGACTCGACGTTAATATCATAAATTCGTAATGAATCAAATCTTATTTTCATTTCTGTTCATGAGGAAATAATGATCAAATGTGCACCCATCATATTTTGTAGAAGCTGGGGTTGTATCAAATCTACTGAATTTACGACGATGCATTCACATCCCGAAAACATAGCATTGCCCCATTACATTCACAAATCCATTCAACCATTCTTCGGGAGTGACAAACCTTAAACAGGCTTCTCAATGATTGAGCGAGTGTGTACTAATCAGACTGCAGCATTACCTTGCACTAGAGTAGATGTGATATAATGAGTAGTAACTCATGTACCTCGGACAAAGTCCACAATGTATTTCGTGTTAGGTTCGACAAGAAAGGGAAGAAATGGAGACGTTGCAATGCGTATGCGATAAGACCCGGAGCGTGCCGGTCCCTCCGGGATCTCGAGGAGTCAGTCATTGTTTCCAACCCGGAACCTGCGATTGAAGACTATCAATTATCAGACTAAATTAATAACTGACACATGAGATAACTGAACGCGCGCCCCGTTGCCGGTCCCCAAGAAGCTTGTGGTGGTGCCGACTATCGGCGGGATGCTCAGCCGGACTAGTTGGTGGGTCCGGCTGTTCACCAGCTATCATCGTTATGGCTATGTATGTATCTATGTATGTAATGTCATGTTGAGCAATCGATATCACCACTTCTGTAACAATTATCCACTGCTGGCAATTTCTATATTCTACATCTAATTGTTCATTCTATTTCCATCGTTTGTGCTCACCTAAGAATTCATAACAAACCTTCACTTCAGCCAAATCCCTGGAAACCTCACATAACATTGGCCATGGCTACATCAGCACCAAAGCACGTCGTCTTCGACGTCGTCGGCACCTGCGTGTCCTACGACGCCATCTTCGAAGCCCTCGAGACACGCCTTGGCGAGCGTCTGCGCGAACAATGTATCAAGCCCAAACTTTTGGGTTACACCTGGTTCGAGGCGGCGGAGCGTGAGTACACATACCTCAGCATCTCAGGTCGCTACATCCGCTTCTTCGACGTCTTCAAATCTCTTTTCTACCGCATGCTGTGGATGGCGGGCATCGAAGAGCCGCGGGAATTCGCAACTGACGATGACTTGGCGTACATCCTCGAGCAGTTCATGAAGCTTGAGGCCCGGCCAGGTGTCGCGGAGTGCTTTAAATTGCTAAGGGAGGCCGGGTTCACGTGTTGGGCTTTTACAGCTGGGGATGTGAATCGCGTGCGTGGGTACTTTACGAATAACGGCATCGATATGCCGTTGGAGAACTTCATGTCGTGCGATAGCTTAGGCATTGGAAAGCCGGCTCCAGAGTCGTATCGGCCGTTGCTTGATCGATTTGGTTCAGAGGAGGCTTGGTTTGCGGCTGCTCATATGTGGGATGTGTCTGCAGCGAAGTCTACTGGGTACGTTCAGAATTTCGATTGAGTTCGATCTTATTGATTATTTTCTATACAATATAACAAAGATCGACCTGGCTAACTATTTAATCCTACAGATTCAAGGGAGCGTACTGCACAGTCTGGGAGAAGGAGCCATGCATAGACCTGTTTGGAGAGATGGATGTTATGGCTAGTAATTTCCCAGATATGGCACGTGGGATCATTGCTGCATCTGAGGCACGGAAATCGTAGGAACTATATCAACCTGCATGATTAGGACGGAAAGGGGGACGATTTGCGCCAATAAGGATTGACGGTATGCTTCAAACGTAAGTACTTATAGTTCCGAATAACGAAAATGGACATCTTCAAATGATAGAACCAAATATCTTTCTGCACAGTTTTGAAATTGCCTAGGTAAACCTCCAGATGAATGCGAAATGGACATTTTAAATTTGTATAGAGCGTACATGTCGGTAGGATTCTGTAGATCCGGGAGGACTAGGAAACACTCCAATGAGGAGCTACATCATAAAATAATCAAAGGGCAAACACGGAAAGGCACAGTAGGGAAGCACATATTCTTAGACGTCACAGCGTAAAAACGTAGTATGCTTATGCCCCAACAATGTACGGTAGTTCTTCAACTTTCTCCCCTAGGAGCTATATAAATATACGCGCTAGTATAATTTACAATAATTACAACTTGGCCTTCGCAGGGCTCTTATCATCCACCCAAACCGACTGCAACGATTCTTCGAGTGGATTGTCCTTACGAATAACCCTCTCTTTACTCGTCTTCAATATAGCAGGGACGCCAGACTTTTCAATTGGAGTGCCGTCTCTCACGAGCGCGGCGACGGCTTTGCTCGAGCCTAGAATCTCCGGCATGCCGTGGCCTGAGAATCCGGCAATGATGAATTGCCCAGGCTTGTCGGGCACCTCGCCGAGGTGGGGTATGAAGTCGGAGCTGTAGCCCATGACTGTTTTGATTGATGTCAGTGTTGCTCAATACAATGTACATCCCGTGAAAAGAATTTGACAAGGGGGTAGTAGTTCTTACTTCCAGTCCAGACCTCTGAAACCTTAGCACCGCTGTCCTCCCATCCTCTAAAATGCCTCTGCATGTATCCATCGAAATACGACACAGCGTCCGCCACAAGCTCGTCGTCACGCACGTTGTCAAACCACTGCTCTCTGTGATGCCAGAAACGCTGTCTCGCGCCGCCAACTACGATACTGCCGTCCGCACGTGGAATGAGATAGTCGTTGTTCCGCGCATCGAACCGGATACCGTACGTATTGACGAGATGCGGTGTCGCCACGCCTCGGGGCGAAGAAATTCGACTGCAGATGCCACGGACGGGAACGATCTTGTCTTTGTACTCGGGCAAGATCTGTGCGGTGTAGCCGTTGGTGGCGAAGACGACTTTGCGGGCTTTGATGGTTCCGCGAGGGGTCTGCACTGTCCAGTTGCCGTCGGCGTCTTTTGTTGAGGACACTGATTGTGTGGGTGTGTTGGTTTGGAGATTCAATCCTTTCTTTAGAAGACCCTCTAGCAATTGGTGGATCATCTTGGCTGGCCACAGATGGGCTGCCGTAAAGGAGAAACAGCATCGGGCACCTTTGACCCCGGAAACCTACGTGATGTTAGAAGAGACATTCAGGATGGTGGATGTTAGATTCTGGAAGCAGAAGACATATCCTTTGAATAGAAATGCATGACTGACCCTTTCGGCATCCTTCTCCGGTGTGAAGGCAACATCATGTAGATTGACGGCTCCTGTTTTTATAAGATCACGATACGCCGCCTCAGTCTGTTTCGCATGCTCAGGGTCGAGGTAGACGTCCAACGCCCGAGTCAAGTGAAAGTCACAGTCAAGCTTCTCTGCCTCAACAAGATCCTTTACAGCGTAGACATGAGAAGCCTCAAATGCCGCAAGCTCAGCAGCTGCCTGGACACCAAAGATCTTTGCAAACTTGGGCACATTGAAGTATGTGTCGGGCTTGACGTGGCCGCCGTTCCTCCCTGATGCACCTGAACAGACCTTCCTTGCTTCGAGGAGGACGATAGATGGGGGATTGGGGTTGTCCTTGAGGATATGGTAAGCCGTGGCTACACCGGCAAAGCCCGCACCCACAATCACGACATCGCAGGTCTGGGGGAGATCTGGGGTAGTGCGATGATCGTCCAGGGCGCGTGGCTCCGCATTCCAGAACGACGGAACCGGGTTGGCGACGGGGCTGCGAGAACTCTCCTCTGCGCGCGACGACATGGCTGATGGACTATCCAGATTTGTTTGAGATATCCAAGAGAGTGATTGAGTGTGATTAACAGGAGTGTTTGTGTGTATACAATTAAAGTTCTTATCTAAGTCCGTAGCACATCATCCATGCAATGTCGATCTGAAGCACGTTATCCTTTCCAAAGCGTGGTGGGCTGATAATGGAGATGAGACCAGATTGTTAATCCCGGATCTCTACGAGAATCGATATCGTGACTTGAGGGAAATACGAAGCTTGTTGCTGAGTTATCATCGAGTATGTCTACCACCGGTATCTGTCATATCTCGTAGTTAGTAGATGCATCCTAGACGATCGCACCGCTTTGGGACCGACCGGAAGTGGACCGGCATCTCGATAATAGTGGGACCGGCAAACGCACACAACGTCCACTTTGACGGGAGACCTTCTCCATCCAGCATACGCTCAGTACCGGTTCGACGCCGCTATCATGACTCCGAGCGTCGGAGTTGCCCTTCGCAATGTTGATCGGGGAATAGAGAAGCAGTGGAAATATGGGTGTAGATCGGATGAAGCACCTAGACGTATAGAAACCGTTCACACCGTGCACCCCCGCTTCTTCAGTCAAGCTGATATCTATTGTAAGTCTACACTAGAGATCTTGAAGTCTCCATAAAATTGTTTGGGGTATCAATATCCCTGCAATGATGAGCATTGAGTCCTTGTAGTATGTAATGGTACCTAGGCCATATTGACTCATCCAATCCAAGATACTGCGTTCAATATCTAACTATCTTTCCTACGAGTCAACGTACGAGATAGTTAGATAGAACGACTCACGCACATTGATGATCCCTGCGTCGCAAGGCCTGCCCTTATTCCTGCGAGTGAACGATCGCACTATCTAGGTAGACAGACTATGTACTACGCTACAATAGCGCCATCATTACCCCAACACCAAAAATCTGGGCGACTTGCGAACGGTTATCGAACATGCTCAAATCCGTCCTCAGTAACTAATCCCCTATCAATTCGTGAATTCCACTTGCTGCACATGTGTCCATTGTCACTCTCATAGTACATCTGGTTTTCACGTAGTAGTTAAAGCCCTACTTGTTATAATGCAAGCACAACACGAGCCTTCACTTCCTCCTCCACAGCAGCAGCGACAGAGACAGCGACGAAACCTAGACCGGGAGCGGAAACGGGCAGCGCGGGCGTACGTGAACCCTCTTTTTATTATCGTGAGACCCTGAAGTATTTGGGTAGAACAGGGCCATTGCTAATTAGCTTCTTTACAGTTGTGACGGATGCCGGCGACAGAAGGAGAAATGCGATGGAGGCGTGCCATGCCGTCGGTGCTTTCGACTCAAGCGGAAGTGTGAGTTCTCCGGCCGGGCTCCTCCTAGGGGGACCAGCGATGTTGGGAAGTCGACTGCCATGGCCGTATGTCCTACTGCGAACTGCGAACCGGGTCGGGAGGCTGTCCCGGAAGCTATGTACAGGTGAGTACAGTCCCACTCACTCACTCCGTACGACCCTTTGACTGGTCGGGGGAGGAGCGTATAACGCACAGGAAAATGAAAGGTCCTGACTCTGATCTAGTAGAGTTCCATCTGTACCTGGTCAACAGGACCTCTCGCAGCGGGTAGCCTATCTAGAGAAGATCATTCAGCACTATGCAGGTGATGTCACTCTAGATGCAGTGACCGTCCGTAACATGGCCGACGGGGCCGACAGGCAACGGCGGCCAATGATGGAAACAGAAGTCTCGGTAAACGGCTCAGATATCGCGAGTGTTGATGCAGAGGACTTCAGCATCCAGCCTTTGGAGAATAACATTACACGTAGATAGCCCTCTCTCACTACCTCGTGACTCACGGAACTGTTGGTTGACTTATGGGCAGATTACTCGGGGGAGTTCTCACATTGGAACTTTTCCATGAGAATAAAGCAATGGATCGATCAGACAGTTCTCCGTGACGATACCAACGTAAGCCTCGCCTCGACTTCGACAAACTGCTTCCAATCCCTCCTTGTCCCACCAGTCGTCACCGATCTGAAGACTAACTCCCGCCCATAGCAAACCCCCGACTCGACAGTCTTCAAGGAGTACTATAGGCCTGAGGAACTCCAATCCCCCTCTAGCATCGTCAACTCCATATCATCTTTACCTCCTCGATCCATCGCAAACTTCCTCGTGCACTCGTTCTTCAACCACGCCGAGGCCAATTACTTCTTCGTCGAACGGCAGTGGCTCGAGGACAGACTCGACACCGTGTACGAGCGGCCCGCAACCTTATCCCGCCGGGACGTGGGCTCCGTATGCGTGATCTTTGCTATCCTCGCCATCGGCGCACAGTATGCCTACCTCGAGTCTTACGCCGAGGGCCACGAGGATCATCCGCCCTACGGCCTCAAGACGAAGGTCTCGGAGCCGTTCTCGGAGGACAACGTTAGCGTTATGTTCTATCAGCAGGCTTGTCGGCTGCTAACGGACGTCATCGCGATATCTTCCCTCGAGAGCGTGCAGGCTTGTCTGCTGATCGGTATCTACACCTTGCCGCTTGATGCGTCAGGGTTGTCATATATCTATCTGAACTTGGCGCTTAAACTCGCCATCCAGAATGGCATGCATAGGAAGTGCCCTGTAGATTCGCTGAATGATTCCCTCCGTGAGACGAGGAATCGGGTTTGGTGGACAGCCTACACAATTGAAAGGTATGACAGGACCATTCCACCCATTTTCAATCGATCACTGACGAGCACATCAAGACGAGTCGGTATCTTCCACGGACGACCGATCTCCATCTCAGCATCAGACCTCGACGCAGACCTGCCCGTCGACCGATCCATCAACCTATGGCCTTCCACGACCGCCATCCACACTGCCCACTTCCTCGCGACCTTGCATCTGAACCAGATACTCAGTAAGATGTCCCACGAGATGTAAGTCCACTCCCTACTCCTTCTCCTCCTCTCTCTCCTCCAAAACACTCCAGTGTCCGTCTGTTTGAATCCTCTTTACTAACACTCTTCCCTCCCTTCCATCCAGATCCCTACTCAAAAACCACACTGTCCGCGAGATCTCCAACGGCCTAGGCCGACTCATCGAGCTGCGGCGCGGCCTCGTCACCTGGTGGGACGGCCTCCCAGATACACTGTTTGCAAAGGCAACGCCCGCGATGAACGCGCTGCAGCGGTCCGCCACCACGCGAACGGGCGTGCACCTGAACCTCGAGTACTGCCTAGTTCGCATCTTCGTCGGCCGGGCGTTCATCTTCTCGCGCTCGAAGTCGCAGATCAGCTCTCCCGTCTCACAACACCAACCCGACAATACCACCGCAGCCGCAACCGCTGGAGTTGGAGCAGGCGCAAACAACAACACCACGGCCAGCCCCTCCCAAGCCTCGACCAGCAACAGCGACTCACGCGCCCTCCTCGTCGCAGACTGCATCGACGCATCCCTCACCGTCGTCGACCTCTGCCGCCACCTCCGGAACACCATCGGCCTAGCCCGCGCCTCGTACACCGAGTTCAGCGCGTGTCGCGCCGCGCTGCTGGTCATAATAACGCAGTGTCTACAGCGGAAGACGGATCGGTTCCGCCGTGCGCTGCGGAGCGGGCTCGCGATGCTGAAGGAGATGTCTGCGGGTTGCGAGTCCGCGCGGTCGGAGCTGTCGCTCATCGAGGCGTTCGATAGGGCGATTGCGAGGCTCGATGTCTCGTCGACGGCGTCGGTGGCGGAGAGTAGGGCGGGTTCGGAGTACGCGCAGTTCAAGAGGTGGGAGCAGTCGTGGAAGAGTGACGCCGTGTCGTTGTCGTCGTCGGCGGCGGTGGATAGGATGGGCGAGGGAAGCATGCAGCATATGTCGATGCCGATGGCTTCGCAGCAGGCGGCTGGTCCGTCGGCGTCGTCCTGGATGCTGTCGGATGGCCCTCTGCAGAGGCAGATCCCGGGGCCTATGCCTACGGAGACACCGCTGTTTGATGTGGATGGGAATTTTGCTTCGTTTCCGCAGACTATAGATGAATTCTCGTCCCTGTTGGCATATCGATTCGGAAATGATCTGGATTATTTACAAACTGGGAATCATAGCAGCATATAGGAAGACTTAGTAAAAGGCTAGAATTCAGCTGTAGTCACTCGAAGGACTACTCCAGATCATGTAAACTTGACTTGCCCATTGGTTCTCTTCGCATGTCATTATGGTCGCTCGGTGTCATGCTCAACGCACCTGGCAAAAGCAGTGTGCAGAAAGTGACTCTTAATGTATTTCATACTATCAATCAACCAGCCGACCAACCAATCATTCAAATCTCATAATCTATGTAGTATCCATGCACTAACAAGTCGCTTTAGTCCAGCTTCTTCTGCCGCTTAATTCATGGTAAAGCTGCTTTTGGTTGATAGAAGGTCTCGTCAAGGAACTCGCTATCTTCGAGTTCGTACTCTTTGAATCGTCCGGATGTTCGCGTCGACTGCTGGAGAGTCCAGGAAATTGCTCGAAGAGGTCGCAGTGCGTACTTGAAGTCATAAATCAATAAACGTTGATCTCTTAAACTTATGCAGTGGCGTTTCGTAGAGTAGCACTCAAATCTGGTGGTTGGCGCGCAGTGCGGCAAGGGCACCAAGCAAATCATTCTCTGCGGCATCGTCGACTCTCCCATAATCAACCAAGCTGTTGAATTCGTCATAGTAGTTGCTTCCACCGCCGTTATCGTGCTCTTGCTGACGCGGTCGAAAGGTCGAAATATGCCGAACAGTCACCCCATCAGATAGATCAGGCGCCTGCTCTAGCCCCAAACGAACATCAACATTTTCTTTATTGTCGTCATCACTGAGAATCTCCTCCACTGGACTCAATGACAATAGGGCTTCGTGTCTCTGTTCACGGTCCTGAAGGATGGAAAATGGCTCGCCTGCGACCGTGGGGTAGGAGCGGTTCACAGAGTAACGGCTGATATAGCCGCCTCTATACATATGCCTGCGAGATGGCGTGTGAGCAGCCCTGCGAGGCGATGTGTGAGTGACCCTGTGAAGCGGTGTATTGACCAAGGTGACGCCAGATATCGATGAACTGACTGAGCCAGATCTTCGGGTTTCTAGAACAGAATGGATGGAGATCCTCAAGGGTACATCTCGTTCTAACACAGACTGATCAGGACGGTCGCCAGTTGAAGGCAAGCTTTCAACTGATTCCTCGTCATCTGACACAAGCGTAGGGGTTTCCGAGTCTTCGATAGTCGCATCAGATGCGTATAAACCCTCAACATCGCCTTCATCCTCGAGCACATTCTCGGTGTCTTCTTCTTCTCCTTCGTCGGCTTGCTTGGTACGCTTCCGATCGCGACTTTCAACATCATCTCCCTCGTCCTCTTCCTCTTCAAGAGCGGCAAGCTCCTCATCTTGTGGGTGAACCTGCATATTGTACAGAACCTCTCGACTGGCTTGTCGAGAAGAACGCCGGAAACGGGCAATGGGGATGGGAATGGCAGATCGAAATTTTGATTTTCCCTTACCTTTGGAGCATTTCTGAGTATTATGCTCTTCTTCCGGGTCTTCTCTGGTCGAGGAAACTTCGCCATATGCATGCCTCAACTTTGAGGCCTGCTTAGGCCGCAGGTAGTCATCCAAAGGATGGTACTTTTGGTCGTAGCACAGCTCGCTCTTGAGAGTGCTCGTGATCCTTCGAGGAATTCGGGACCTCTGTGAGGAACGTAGGGGTGATTTAGCCAGAGTAGACATCACGGCTGAGCTTGACGCACTCCCGTCCTTGATGATGTTGCTGTGATCGAGTCCAGCAAGCAACAGTGACCTCTTCTTGTGTGTTAACTTTCGCTTACGCTCCTCCGAAGTCAGCGGAAGCGCCCCCCATTGAGGGCTATGAACTTACCTCCACGGGAGGTTCAACTGGAGAGTTTGACTCGTGGGTGATGGCTTGAGAATCAGGATGAGATACTCTCGCAGGTTTCTCATTACCTGGTAGCGAGACTCTGGTGCTCGCTTCCTATATGATGGTTCGAACCAGCTGGACTTTGGCTTAGAGATGAAAACTTCGACTTACCGGGTGGCTTTTGAGCTCGGTTTCTGAGCTGTAGAAGTCGGTTACGTTCTCGGAGTCCGAGTCGTAGTCGCTGAGTGCTGGAGGCATTCTGGATGATGGATTTGCACCAGACAGCCTTGTGTCGTATATTTGAAGTGAGACGACAAGGTAGAAAGGAAGAGGGGTGGTGGAAGAAAAAGTACGAACGGAGAGAGATGGAGAGAGTAAAAGTCAGGCAAAGCGTAGAAGTAAAGGTATATCGGAGGAAGGCACGCGCTCTGGCTCGCGTTTGGCCGCGGCTCAGATCATGGTGAAGTAAGTGAGTCCAGCAAGGCAGGTGCCATCAGGTGAAATTCAAACTTCACTTCTAATCAACTTCACTTCAGATTCAGAGTTTGTGTACGAACAGATCATTATGCTGGCTATTGTAAGCAAATCGAGCGCAGCTCATACAATTGCGTTAGCATCTTCAAGGCCGAGAACAACCGATCCTATCACATCAAGCAAAGATATGGGTATAGGTATAGGGGAATCTGATCATTGTCCTGAGATTCCATAATTCCTAGATATGAAGTATTGCTATGATTGTGAAGTGACTTGACAGCGTCAAGGACTGGGCTTGATAATGGATTTTGAACTTCGAGTCTGCTTCTGAACAAAATGGGGAACGGGTCAAAGCATGAGAATTTTAGACTCTCTCAGGCAATCAGCTCGAATAAATCTTACCACAAGTGCTTCTTGCCACAACTACTCTGATAGTAAATATAAATATTGACTTGTAGATGACCAATTGCAGCGTCGCCAATTGTAGCGCGGCACCAACTAGCGCTAATTCGACGCGTCTGGGGGTAAGTGCCCCCGCATGTGATTACGCGACGGAGTCTTGCATCTCAAAAAGTACATCATCCTCACTGCGAATTGTACCAGAACTCAACGAATTGCCTTCAGTATGGCCGACAAGTACAAGGAGTACCTTGCGACTCGAATATTCACGGAGAACCAAGTGGTATGCTTTAAATCGACCGAAACACACATCACAGAGCTGATAATGTCCAGGTCACTTACCGTCTCCTCAGTCGCGCAGTAGGCGTAAATGTGAACACTGCAAAGTGGTAAGTACGATAAGATGCCATTGAGGTCACTCTTCTGAATATATACAGTATGCTCTTCGAGTTTTACGATAAGCAGAACGCAAAAAAACCCAACGCCGTGCACGCAACGTTTATCCTCGTAGGCCAGAAGAAAAGCTTCGAACATACAAATGGCTCCAATGGCTCTGGACACCGAAAAGATGAAGACATACGCATGAGGAGTTCTCCTCCGCTGAGCTCAATGCCTGAACCAGATGCTGAACCAGAAGAGGAAATCAGGCCTACCAAAAGCATCGTCCTGGTCCGCGAAGAAGAGCTGGAGGATACAAAGGCAAAGTTTGACAAGATCGAGTCGCAACATATATATAGTTTGCAGCCTGGCCCGATTGAGGTATGTTTTGAACGGCTGAGGAGCAATGGTACTTGGCTAAGATCTGTAGAACCTCAACCTACTTTCGGCATGCAATCATGAAATTGCAACCTCATATTCTACGGACGATCCCCTCGAACGATGGAAAAAGTATGGGTCAATTCACAATCCCTTTATCAAGGTGAGTCATTCAGAACCGATGAACATGGAACGTGAATGGCTAAACATTTGGGCAGAAACGTACAGCGAAGCATGCTCCTGTCGCTACCTCGATAGCAGCGAAAGCAACCACGACTGCGGTGAAATCAGATGTATTAGGGCTTGGACGTAACACTTCGAAAGATACTCCAGTGCGAAAAGGGACTTCAGAGGGCAACACATCTGGTCGATCGACGCCGCAACCGGCCGCAGCAGCCAGTACTACGAAGAAGACAGGAGCCAAACCCGCCCTTCAAAAACAGAGTTCAGATATCTTCAAGTCATTTGCCAAGGCAAAGCCAAAGGCGAAGGAGCCGGCACCTGCTCCTGTAGAGGATGGTAAGACGCAGAATTATCTTTTTTAGATTGCATGCTAACAGTTAGTACAGAACCCATGCAAGGCATGTCAGAAGACGAGGGCGAAGATGAAGAGAAAATCGAGATCGATCACGAAAAGGAAGCAGCAGCCCGCAAAGTTCGAGCAGAACGAGAAGAGGCACTACGGAAGATGATGGAAGAGTCTGAAGGTAGGCCTACAACGGCTGTGCTTCATTGATGGTTTTACTGATCTTATGTCTAGATGATGAAATGCCAGATGCTCCTATAGAAGAGCCAGAGGCAATGGAAACGCAACCTGAAGAGCCTGTTGACGAGACGCCCGCCGGCACCGAAGCAGCAGTGACAACAGAAGGAGGTCGACGACGCGGAAGAAGGAGAGTGCTGAAGAAAAAGAAGGTCAAGGACGATGATGGTTACCTTGGTAAGACGATCCACACTCTCATCCATTTGAAGTACCTATATCTGACCTGCAAATAGTTACCAAGGAAGAGGCGGTGTGGGAGTCATTCTCAGAAGATGAGCCAGCACCAAAGAAACCCAAACCAGCACCGAAACCCTCCACGGCGAAGGGCAAGAACGTGAAGGTAGGCAAAGGCGGACAAGGCAGCATCGCCAGCTTCTTCAAGAAAGCATAGGGTCCAAGGGAGTCATGAAGCCACGGCCTGGATAATCGCTTTACTCCTTACAGGGACACCATCTGGGAGAACAATATATGCATTTCCCAAAACCAGTCGAGCGTATCAAAGATGCTTAGAACTATGGGCGGATCTCCATAGGCGATGTCTTTGAAGCAGTCGTCGAGACTCGAACGCGAAGATCCGGCCTCCATTCAACACCATTCACCAAACAAAAGCATCACGACGACATAGACACAACCTCTAAGCTGACTCTATCAGCCCCTGTGATGGAAAGCCTTAGCCAGTCATGGCAATACACGAGTGCATATCAATGCCATCGTGGAATGAGAATTGGCGATCTGTATTTCCTTTAGGGTCACGAGGACCAACCTGTACATACCTACATGCCTACATCGAGCCTGAGCATAATCAACCATTTCCAATACCTAGACCTAGAAACATGAACACTTCAAGCATATTCCATCCCTATCCCAGGCTAGGCAGATTTACACACAACCCTCACACAAAAAGAATAAGCAAACCCCCCACCCATCCATCCACCCATCCATCCACCAGCCCCCCTTCCAAGTAGTTAAAACTTTCACCGCCAAAACGACGAATAGTCATGATGCAGCGAGCAGCAGCAGCACAGCACAGCACAGCACAGGCACGAGCGGAGCAATAATTGCCTCACCTCACATACTTACCCGTTTTCAAGCCTCATCCCTGGCCCTGCCGACTTTGACTCTCTCGCTAGTGAAAAATCTCGATACATACAGCCGTGCCGGTACGCCCGGCGCTTCGAACACGCAGGCAGGCAGGCAGGCAGGGCAAGCGGCCAAGAGCAAGGCGAGGATTTGCAGGATACAAATTGGGCGAGGCGGTCAGTCACGTACAGGAAGGACCCAGAGCCTCGATACACCTTAGCACAGCACGGTGCAGAGTATGTAATGTAATGTATGTGCAACGTCCAAAAGTCACGACGCTGCCCCCCACCTCGTAGGTCGAAGCCTGCGATTCCAAAGCGCAGTCTAGTCAAGTCTACATACTGTCTACTGTGTAACTCAACTACAGCGAGTCGAGTCCCTCCTGCACGTAAAAGCGTCCGTGTGTCCCCCGACCCCCGCCGCCGCCGCCGTAGCCGTTATGCGAAAGGGTAAGGTATGTGGTAGAGACAAGGGGAAGGGGACATAAATTGAAGGGGTCACAGCGTTTTTTTCGTGTGCGTGGTACAGGTCGGCGACTTGGACGACCCAGTACCGTAGTACGCGTGCGCACACACAAGGGCTCACACTGTGGTTTCCTCTTGTGTGGGTGATTGTTGATATAGGTGTATTGTGCTATCTTTGAGGGGTGTCACGGTAGTAGATAGATGGTTTACGGTCACGGTGACGATGATTGCGTGTTGGCAGGTCGCTCAGACCGTTCAACGGCGGCGGCGGGCTGCCGACATGCTGACGAGTGTGTTCGGAGTATTATTGAGTGTGCTGTGCAGTGCGTGTGAGGAGATGCAAGGATAGGACAGCTTCTCGTGAGGCTACTCGTCTGTGTCTGTCTTCTTTGCTTTTTCTTTTTGCGAACATGCTTGCTCACGACAGAAAACGTCGACAGGGACAGGGCACCGTTGTTACTCGTGAGACGATGTGGTTGGAGCGAAAAATGTCAAAAAGTGGCTTGCGGGTGTGCTCTTTGCTGGGGGGTGTTCGCGACTGGGGGGTTTTGCAGGAAGAGAGGTCAGGGAAAGGGAAAATTGCGGCCAGTAAGCGTATGTGGGGCAGCACTACACTGCAGCAGCAGTCAAACTCTGGATTGTCTTGTTGTCGATCATGCCCTTTTTCTTCTCTCGTGGGTTTTTTTTCTTCATGCGGCTCATTTGGTGTATTGGCATCTATCGCTGTTTTTTCTCGGTGGATTGTGAAAGGTGGACAATGAACGACTAGGCAGAGAATGCCGTGCATCAAGACACGATCCAGAGACATTTCGCGGACCTTTTCTCCGCCAGGAGCACAGCCAACCAACAAATTACGGAGTACGTAAATCAAGATACTTCATGAATCGTCAGTTCGACGTCGGATAAGTCTTGATCCTCACGGAGTAAATAGGACCGCGACTCATCTCCCCAACCCTTGCGCCATCGAAGTCGTGCGCAGGAACCTAGTAGGGGGGTCCACGGTTCTAGTGCGTTTGAGAGATGCTTACGGAGCGCAATGCCGATGAGGACGAATGCTTCCGCTTCCTGGACGGAGCAGGCTCCGTGGCCTATCAGCTCAGGAGAACCCCGTCAGTTGGAGCTCGTGCCAGCAACTGTCATTGTGTTTGTGAATGTCGCTCCCCGATTCGAGTCGGGGCAAGGCGTGCGTCGAGTCGAACGGGGAATAATTGCTGTTCTGAGTGTAGGCCTTGGCCGGGCGAAGTGAGAAATTGACTTTCGTTATGGCCGACGGCAAGGCTGTATGGTCGGGATGGGCCGTCGTCAAGGATATGCATGTATGACGAACGTGAAAGATATGTACAAAAAATCGAAAGAAAGACAACGGGGAAACACGGACGGAGCATGACCCATGCGACCGACCGAGTTTGACAATACTGACAATCTTAACATTCCATCGGACATGCGACACTAACTGAGGGAAATCGACCATGGACAAGCCAACCCAAGGCCTGGCACACAAGTTTACCCTTCCGAGGAGATAGAAAGATAAATGAAATGAAAGAGAATAATAGAAGACGGCGAGGAAAGGAAAGAGAAAGCGATTGCGAAGAGAGAAGCCTATTGGTCGGGATGGAGGTTGGAACAGACAGAGAACCCCAGTGAACCCCTTGCCGTTACCTTGCCTCGCACTCTACGTGGGAAAACGTGGCATCGGGCACATCACTCCGCTCTTATTCGTTGGCAGAATCATCCTGTCCTACCTGCGCCGAGATGCTTTCTCCATTAGGAAGTCGCTGGATACACTGCAGCACATCATCTCTCATGTATGTAGCACGGAGGGAAGAGTTGTCGTGATAAAAATAGATTGCCTCGGATTCTCATTGTCATATGTAGACATCTTTCCACAGTTCTGGGGATGTCTACTTGCAAGGAAGGGCGTGTGGTCGGATGAAAAGTGCGGAAGTTTTCCTTCAAACGGCGCATGCGAGGGATGAGGCTAGGGGGCATCACTGCGATGCTAAACACCCACACTACTGCCGACATGGACATTCGATAATCACGATGATGAAATGAATTTCTGTGTGCGCATGCCAGAGAAACGAGATTTAGACTTGACACTTCCGGCGATTAGTGCAACAAGAACATCACCAAACATGACTTAAAAAACTCAAATCAAACAATCCGATGTCTTACCACGCATACATATTACCTAGTACAAGTACAAAGTAGACTGCAACAGAAAGAAATCCCCTAATGCACGTCAAGCATCGAATGAATCGTCGCCCACCGCGAGACTAACTACCGTAAACGTACTTGTACAGTTAAAACTTAACGATACCCACCGACCTAGTCGATATCACTAAGTTAACTCTACCTTAGGCAAACAAGGCTCGGTCCGTAATGGCGCCTCCTCCCTTCATCTTCGCACTTGTGCTGGCCGTCAAACTGCTGGCCTACCCGCCTGCGCTAAACCCCTTCCACACCCCACACACCCACACCCACATCCATCTCATCTCATATCTGCCACCCCCC